ATAGTCAACTGCGACTCGACGCCACACTACAACACTACCTCGCTTACTCTTGTGTTTTCGCTCAAGTAGTCAGTTGCGGAGTTAGAGCACAGTATACTAAGCATCAGTACCAGATTTCGGACACCACACATTACAACAGTTATCGTATATCAGATGGGTTTTTGTGGAGATTGTAGTAATTTCAATGGTTAAGATCATGAGTCAGTAAAGGTAGACCACCATGGAAAACCTGGAAGCACTGGACAGCCGTCTCGTCCTATTGTATGGCTCCTCAGCAGTGCGCATCCACGACCTTGCCCACTGCGAGATTCGAACCCAGGACCTACTGGTTTCGCGCACGAGCACTTAACCACTAGACCACTGAGCCGACATCCAACGGTGGATGCGCACTGCTGAGGAGTCCTACAATAGGACGAAACGGCCGTCCAGTGCTTCCAGGTTTTCCATGGTGGTCTAGCTTCAACTGACTCATGATCTTAACCATTGAAGTTATCGTATAATTGTCATATTTGATAGTAAACGGGAGACATTTTTTTGATTCGCTATTAGATCAAGGGTACATCTAGGCAGTGTTACATTCGGACGAAGAATAAATGAATAGTCACTGCTATAGATTATTTATGGATTACTATTCCTTTTATTATAAGCCCCCATTTGACGTAGAGGCTAACATGACACAATTTATTATTCTTAAGTTATTCCAAATCTATTGGTTACAGTTTCCTATACTCAAAGACACTTTTGGGCTTGATCTTGTATAATTATTATCTTTCATTTGATAGTATGATGCGGTCTAATTTGCTTGTATATAAAGTGCTTACATCTGCAATACATGATTTGTATAACAGAGGTATTCTGGACTCAACATGCAAGGCTAGTCGGGAAGGATCAATAAGGATAGAGAGTTGAAACAGGACTTCTTGTGTTGGTTGACATGTCACTGGTTTAACACAAGAACGAGGTTATACAAGTCGATATTCTGATTTTGTTAAGTGATAATTGACATAGGTAAAAGTCATAACAAGTGAATGTTTAGTTTGATAATACTCTGTAGACGCCCAACTTCGAGACCAACAGGCTAGATTCCATAAGGATCGATCCAAATCTCAGCACTACAGATCATTGTGGAACAATCCATTGAATGGAATTTGTCATTGTACATCAAATTCATTGATTACGAGAAAGCATTTGAAAGTATGGACTGGACAAAGCTATGGAAGCTTCTTCGCCACTACGGCATGTCTAAGAAGATAGTCAACGTTATACGAAATTTTTATGATGGGTTAAACTGAAAAATCGTTCATAGAAGATGGAAGAGAGACTCGTTCGAGGTGAAGACCGGTTGTTAGGTAAGGTTGCTTTCTCTCACCCTCTACAACTGGAGAACATTTAGAACTCAAAACAACTGTCAACCAACACCAAAGTCAGTAATTTCAATACAAATGTCAAAACAGTTCTACTGTATGGGGCGGAAACTTGAACAATTACGAAAGCCATCATCCAGAAGATACAAGTGTTTATTAATAGTTGTCTATGCAAAATACTTCGGATTCGTTGACCAGATACTATCAGCAAGAACCTATTGTGAAAGAGAACAAACCAGATTCCAGCGGAGGAAGAAATCATGAAGAAGTGCTGGAAATGGATAGGACACACATCGATGAAAGCATCCAACTGCGTCGCAAGGCGAGTCCTCGTATGGAATCCCCAAGACCAAAGGAGAAGAGGAAGACTAAAGAACACATTACTTCCAGAAATGGAAACAAACATGAGAAGAATGAACAAAAATTGAATAGAACTAGAAAGGAAGGCGGAGGACAGAATGGGTTGGTGAATGCTGGTCGTCGGTCTATGTTCCATCGGGAGTAACTGGCGTAGGTAAGTATGTACTCTTCAGTAGTGCATATTTATCAACTAATCATCAAATTTTAACCATTTTAATCGAACATTAACACGTAGTGAAAGAAAACGTCGTGCGCTGTTTAAAAAGACAGTGGTATTTTTCCTCGGTGAGTAAATTCTATTGTTCTGATCGTTTATTATGTTTCAAGACTATTGTTTACACATTAATTGAATTTATTTCAGTTAAAGTATTCGATAAGAGTACAGCTTTTTTTCTAAAGTAGTTTATCGTCGGTACATTTGAGTACTTTGTTTTCTATTGTATTTGTTAGTACTTTTGGTTCTAACAATTTACAGTTTTTCCACTTTTTTTGGTCATAGATCATTTTTTGTCTGAAACGACCTCTGTTTGATGACTGGACAGTGCAAAAAAAAGCAATTGTCAACATCTGGACTATCGAGATCCCGTTGAAAGTGGCATGCAATGTAATGAGTACAAAGACTGGTACCACGAAGTTTGCACGAATTCGAAGCATGTGGCTTTTAAATGGTTCAGCAAAAACGGTTGCGTATGGCTTTGTCAGCAGTGCTGTTAGGACGTATACAGGTTGCTAATCGAGGCCATCTCAATGGTAAATGCTGCGGAAGTGTTTTAGCGAGTGTGGTCGTGACAAATCGGACAGCACTCACTCTGTTGACGCGCAAATTGACGTGGAGCAAACTCAAGTGAGTTGGGAAACAGCTGACTCACATTGATCAGAGGAGGGAAGACAGTCTTCAAAGAGGTCTGTCTTAATTAAGAACCCAAGAAAGCAGGTTTCTTCTGTCCCCTATCATCTAAATGGTACCCAACAGGAAACGCCTAGGGACTACAATCACAAAACTCGATCTATTACTAGCGAAAAACACAGCCTGACTTCCCAAGTCGTCAAAACCCTCCGGAATCTTACAGTATGTTTGACGCTACTGTGGTAGTTACTCCAAAATAGTAATGAAAATAATAACAAAAAAATTTACGGCAAGACTAGAATTTATGAACAAACTAATCAGATTTAAGATAATAGGTCTTGAATTTTGGCGCAAAGTTCATTCACTCATCCATTTGATTAAATAGCGTCTTGGCATTATAGATGATGTTAGTTCATGATGAAAACACCTAAATCTAATTGCTAACTGTTAGGACGGTATACTACTATTGATCATTATCATAACACACCTCTTTACAGATTGGTTGGATTATAATATTGATTTAACAGCCGCTAAGATCTATAAATATCCATGATTTTCTGTACATTTTGATTCTTACCCAACAAGCACTTTCCTCTCCAGTCTTCTTCTATTTGTCTTATTTGCAACTTGGAGGGTTTGTAGTGTCAGTAACTATGCGGAGCTCATATGCCTAGCTTTCGGACAGCCCATTCTATCCGCTTATCAACCTTAACCGTTTTTATATGAGCGCATATATACGTGTGTACATTTCTTATCTTATTCAATCACATATCTGTGACTTATTTTTGTGTGACTATAAATATTGATTAACTTGTTGTGACCTACTTTTATCAAGAGAACGCGATTGGTGTAATCGAAACAATTACTATTATAACCAATTGTATCAGGGATTGGTTTACTGTACTTGTTTGTTTAACTGTACTGAAGACATTCTTCCTTCCGTTGATTGTGACCTTGCATGCACTTACGTTTGCTCAGTGATTCCGGTTGTACTCCTTTGGTACGATCTCGGTATTCTTTCGGTACCACGGGATCGCCAGCAAATACATATCGCTACAACCTTCAAGTGCCTTCTGATATTTGGTAGGCAACCTTCTTGTAGTGGTGATCATAATCAACCGCGACTCGACGCCACACTACAGACTCTTGATTAAATGGTAGTTGGCTTACCCGGCATATCCACTACGCGTCGTTTTGCTTCTCTCTATTCCATTCACTTCATATACAAAATTTATGTATTCAAAAGTCCATTCTCGTTATTTGACTTATTTAATCCCGTTACTGACTAACGCGATTTAAGTCAGTGATTATATACGAGGATAGGCGACATATATATTTCATTAACAATCATTCATACGATCAAATTAGAAACGGATCTCGGACCATTAAATTGGAGAGCCTATCAACAAACATCGTCCAATCTAAATGACGACAGGTTCTGCCGTCCGAGTGCTTATGTTATACGCGGTAATATTAAGAATCTAAGCTTCTATATATAAAACCCTAACGTTAACCATCAACTGTAAATCATAATTTTAATTCTTTACACTAGTTTATAACCCTCATTGAATTGTAAATAGTAGGTGAACATTCTCATAGTCACCCGAACGTCATTCATAAATTATAATCTCACTAAAAATTCTAATCAACACTATTGTGGTATGTGCTACTTATATTGACATAAGTAGTACATGATGTTAGTTGTGAACACAAGGTCTGATAGCAGAGAGACAAGAGAATCGAACAGTAAAGAATGGGAACAGAATGCAACTTGTATGAAAATGCAAGAACAATGAAGTCTGAGTCATTATGAGTCAATTGATGAAGATTTTATTAATAAGTCCTGTAACGTTGTGTCAACTACATTCGATTGCGGTGTTCTTGTTCACTACAGTAGTAGTAGTAGTAGTAGTGGTGGTGGTAGTACTAATAGTATGTTGCAATACATTCGATTGTTCCCAACCGTGTTCTGTTCACTACAGTAGTAGTAGTAGTGGTGGTAGTAGTACTAATAGTATGTTCCAATACATTCGATTGTTACCAACCGTGTTCTGTTCCCTAAACTATCATTATCACTATGAAAATATACATATTGAGAGTTTATATTATCATGTTGTTAGGGATAACTTTAATTTTTTTAAAAAAATATACCATCCATAATATTAAGAACACAATCGAATGAATAGGGTTTTCTTACTTTTAAATAGAAACATAGAATAATACAGTTAAAGAGAATGATTTATATAAACATTAATAAATGAAATAAAGGATACATAGGAAGAGATAGAGAGAGGTAGGCGAGAGATAGATAGATAGATAGAGAGTGAGGTAAGGAGAGATAGGGAGAGTAATGAAGAAGTGAATAGAGCCAAATAAACTAAACTGTTTCCTATTCACATATAATAATAGTAGTTAGTAGTATCTAAAGATTATTCAAAAATAAACAATTTTTCTTGTTTTGTATCTTCTCTTCCATCATTTAAATGAAAAGATTCCTGAAAAGGTAAAGAGAAACAACAACAACAATAATAATAAAATGTCAATGTCGAATATGAAGTATAATGTAGAATTCTGATGAGATTATAGCTTATGGAAGACTATTGATCAACGCTACGGTGATCTTGAAGATGTCTACTTGCATATTATGGTTAAGTGATGGTTATAAACCAATATGAGAGATTTGAATTATAGTTTACAGTTTATAATTAGGGGTGTCACCATATTGAAACACCGACTTCGGTGGCTTGGACATGTTCTACGAATGCCGTCTCAGAGAATTCTATGTCGTGCATTATTAGCCGACTCTGGGACTGGTTGGAAAAAGCGGAAAGATGGTCAGTGTATGACATGGTGTTGTGGTATGAAAGAAAGCTGCAAAGGACTGGCTTGTGTTGGTCCTTCACGACTCCCTGGTTGGGGTCTGAGAGATGGTGCTACACAGTGGCTAGAGACGTTATCAGATATGGCTCAGAATAAAAGCCAGTGTCGATCGTGCTGTAACCTTATTTTACTTTCTTCATAAAAAGTGGTTGTGTCTTCCTTAACTGAAAGATTTCTTCTGATTGTACCTTTCCGTTCCCTCATTATTACTACACTACCTTACACCAATCTCTTCGTTATTGTTCTCTTTTTTTACGCTCCTTACCTTTTTTTTCTCTTCGAATTCTCATTGTTTTGTGTGGCGCTATATATTGGCTCTCTCTTGTACCAATATTTATGTGTTCAAATAAATAAATAAATTACTGGTTGAAATCATGAGTCGATTGAAGCTAGACCACCATGGAAAACCTAGAAGCGCTGGACAGCCGTTTCGTCCTAGTATGGGACTCCTCAGCAGTGCGCATCCACGATCCTGCACCTCACGACATTCCAACCCAGGACCTATCAGTCTCGTGTCAGGCGCTTAACCAACTAGGGCACTGAGCCGGCATCCAACGGTGTTAATGTCTAACTTCAACCAATCCACGAAGTTGCGCCACCGTACACTATTGTCTTCAGTGAGTTGATATCTCACAACAGACCTGGTTGAACTCCATGGGTAACGGCTTCTCACTAAAACTCCAGGAGTATCTCTTGAAGTCAGTTACTAGTGAGCAGATGATTATTATCAGAAGAAGTTCGTGGAGATTTTAGGTTTCCCATGGTGGTCTAGCTTCAATGGACTCATGATTTCAGCCAGTGAAAATCTCCACAAAACCCCTTCTGATAAAACTCTATTTAGTTAAATGTATGAATGAATTCCACGTTGAAATTCAAAACCTGTTATTGTAAATCTCATTGGTTCATCTATAAGTTATAGTCTCATCGTATTGTAGAAGCAATATATAGTAAATGAAATTTGTTCTCATACCCATTTGTGAATACACACAATGTGTTATCTTCACACATCTTTCGTTTCATACCACATATCTCTTGCATACTAAAGCAATTACCTAATTTAAACATTGTTAATGTTTAGTATCAGAAAGGGCTTTTGTGAAGATTGTAGTAATTTCAATAGTTGAGATTATGAGTCAATTGAAGTTAGACCATCATAGATCTTGGATGTGTACTCCTGAAGAGTCCCACAATAGGATGAAACAGGCGTCCAGTGCTTTCAGGTTTTCCATGGTGGTCTAGTTTCAATTGACTCATGATCTTAACTATTAAAATTGTTAACGTTTATTTGGATCATCTATTTTGGTATGAAGTTAACCAGAGAATCATGTTCTGATTTATATTCGATAATGATGATGTTTGATTGTATATTTCCTTGAAAAAGCTTTGATCAGATTGTCAGGTGAAACGTTGAATGTCAGTCAGTCAGTCAGCTACAACGTAGAACCAAGCACATATATGCATCGGTCCAAGTTGCCATACCTCATTAGCACAACAAGATGGACACCGGATTCATAAAAGTAGTTAATTCAGAGGTGGTAATATATAAAAGAAAGATCGCAATAAGGAAGAAAGATATGAAGCGATTTTAATCTCTTAGTTTAAGGGAAGACAGAGAGTTTATACACCGACGCCATTGTGATCGATCGATTCTGAGCCATGTTACCCACAGTCTCTAACCACTGGTTACGATAGTCACGTTGAATGTACTTCAAATTGGTTCGCTGAGATTTCCATAAAAATATATTCCTCCTCTTTAATGTCTCACAGTGCTGTAGAACTTTTGTTTCTTAATACTTGTATGTAAGTTCCAATGTATTTGAATTTCATTCAATTAGAAACTATTCAGGAGGAATGTGTGAATGAATTGGAAGGTTTTTATGGAATAAGATAAAGCTTGTCGGTTATTTGTAAGATTTTACATGTCTATCCATAAATGTATTTATAAAACTATTGAAAGATTCATTATATATATCTTATTACTAGCCTTCATGATACCCTACTTCTCACAATAGAACCTTTCCTTCAAAGTTCAGAGAATGATAATGGGAAACTATGTGTTAATGTTGCTTCAATGTTTTATAGATCGGACGTTTACGTTGAAAGCTCCAGATGTTGCCCCTCTAAGAAAATCACGTGCTTTGGTCAGGGCATCCAGCCAGTATCCCATCCCTCACATATACAAATCAAGTGACTTATATGGTGCATATCTATTTGATACCCCTTTGCACAAATAGTTATATGTTCAAATAAATAAAGATTAGAGAGTATTGAAAAATTATACATAACTTACTCGATCTTGAGAAGTATGTAACTGTGATAGATCATTCCATGTACCATTACTGAATTCTATAAGAAAGAAAACTATCTTAGTGATTATTTATTCGATTAAATGCATAGCAACAATATAACTAATCATTATCATTCATGAAGTAGAAATAACATTCTCAGTTGTATAGTTGAAATGGATATTATCAAAGTGTAAATGTTAAACTTAGATTGTTAAGTCAATAATCCAAGGTGAAGGGAGTATACACTATTGTCAAATGATTTATGACTAGAATAGAAGAGTTGTCCAATATTATTTTAGTATTCAATAGTCCTCCTCTCGTTCAATAATGTGGATCATTTTATATGGTCACACTATATTACCATCAATAGATTCAACCAACAAGACAAGGCGAGGATTAGCAAAGCAAGGACAGCATTCCTACAATTGAAGAACATATGCTAATCAAAACAACTTTCAACCAATATCAATATGAGGATCTTCAATACGAAGGTCAAGGTAGTTCTACTGTACGGAGCTGAAACTTGGGGAACTACAACAACTATCATCAAGAAGGTGTAAATATCTATAAATAGCTGTCTATGAAAGATACTCAACATCCATTGGCCTGATACCATCAGCAACAGCCTTTTGTGGGAGAGAACAAATTAGCTTCCAGCTGAAAAAGAAATTAGGAAAACACAATGGAAATAAATAGGACATATATTACGCAAATCATCAAACTGCATCACGAGACGAGCCCTAACATGGAATCCTAAAGGGAGGCGGAAAAGAGGAAGGCCAAAGAACACATCACGTCGGGAAATAGAATCAGATATGAAAAGGATAAATAACAACTGGAAGGAGCTGTGAAGGATCACTTGGGACAGGGTTGGATGGCGAATGCTGGTGAGCGGCCTATGCTCCTTCACGAGGAGTAACAGGTGTAAGTAAGTAACAAGACAAATACCTGAACAATAGATGTTATAATTAACTTGATGGTAATAAAAAGAGATTAAGAATAGACAGTGTTATTCAAGAAGAATGAATGAATTCATAAAATGAAAAGTATGTATATTTTAGGAAAAAGTGTGAATTTATGTGATCCATTGTGGACGATTCTTAGCTGCAATCATTGTTTACGATAATCGCGAAGACTTCAGATCAAATAGTCTACAACAACTAAGATGGCTCAGATCGACAATCAATGGGTTTATACACTGATGCTTCTTCTTCATTTACTCCTACTCCAGTCAACATTCAGAGTTGAGGTAGGGTGTTGATAAATATTCATAACATATTTTCAAACAATTTCAGTACATGAAGATACACAACCGGTTTCTCTTCTTTGACATGTATCCTAAGTGTAACCTCAACGCTATTCAACTGAATTTGTAAAAACTACTTGACTGAAAGTTAGTTTTCAACATTAACATCAGTTTGATAAGCACTGAACACTATAGAGAAATGGACAACTATCCTGTCTCATCAAAAGGGTTATACCCAATACACGTCCAAAAACAAACATGAGGGATCAAAATCAGAACTTTATAATCAAAGTATAAGTACAAAAGTAAAGATGGATAATGGATAACAGTGGAATCCAGAATTTGTGTTTCGTCCTAGTTGGAACGCGTCAGTTGGATATACCTGCATCACGGAGTTGATGTTCACTCTGAGACTCCAACCCAGTGCCGTTCGCTTCAAACCCCATCGCGTTATCCACTTAGCTACTGAGTCATGATAGCCATCTGCTTGTGCAGGTGAACATCAACTCTGAGCTGTAAGTACATTCAGCTGATGAAACACATGCCCTGGATTCCACTGCTATCCACTATCCATCTTTGCTTATAAAACTTGTGACTTCAGGCAATATTGAGGCATTCCACACAGGATGTACATATCCCAATAAGAGAATGAGCAATTGCAGTCCTAAATAACAATAAGAAGATACGACTATACAACATCAAGTGGATATAAATACAAAAGTTTTAAAAATGGTGTGATCCAAATTTCAAACTTCAATGATGACAATAGTCTAATACTATAAATTGATTCACTGATCAAGTACTCTATCAAGTGTATTATTAGATTTGGTATTTGATTTCAACTATGAAGATGAGTTCTAAACTACAATAAATTAATAGTGTGATGTGTACTACTTATATTGACATAAGTAGTATATAACCCTAGTGAGGAATAAATGTTTGGCAGTAGAAGGTCAAGAAGGAAAGAATGGGAACAGAAAGTAGTTAGTATAGAAATTCCAATAGCTGAAATCATGAGTCAATTGAAACTAGACCACCATGGAAAACCTGGATACACTGGATGGCCGTTTCGTCCTAGTATTGGACTCCTCAGCAGTGCGCATCTACGATTTGAACCCAAGACCTATCAGTCTCACGCGTGAGCGCTTAACCAACTAGATCACTGAGCCAGTATCCAACGGTGTTAATGTCTAACTTCAACCAATCCATGAACAATGAAATCTGAGATGAATTCAAATACTCACGAGATTATCTCCACTTATGTTCTCATTCACTACAATAGTATATTGACAGAAATTACAATTTACCTTTCTTATTTCCATTCATTGTTATGATTCGTTTTTGATTTGTCTTTATTATTGTATTATCATTGTCTAATTTATGATGTAAACGATGAGTAGAACCATTTTCTTTAACTGGTATACGACAATTTAAACACATTGATTGTTTTAAATGATTATCTGTTTCTAATTTACATTTAGACAATTTATCCATTTGTTGTGCTAATTGTTTCTTCTCCTTGGAAACAAACAAGAAAACACAAAAAGAAATGAACTTAAGGCATGAATAGATGAATTATAGAGCTTACGAATGGAATATATCGTGGAAATTTCATTCTATTCAAGACTTGTCAGTTGAATGTATGAGCTGATAATCACATTTAAACTTGATCTCAGTACGTATTACTTGAAAAACTGATGTGTTATTAATTAAACATCAACATTTGGATGTATATACATTCAATTGAAGAGATTCAAACAAGACGAAACTCAGATCCTTTTTTTTTCCACCGTTAGACATAATCTATTTATCTTGAAAAAAAATTCATGGAGAAATCACCATATGGAGGCAAACCGCATAGAACTTACTTACGCCTGTTACTCCTCGTGAAGAAGCATAGGCCACTCACCAGCATTCTCCATCCAACCCTGTCCTGGGCAATCCTTTCCAGCTCCTTCCAGTTATTATTCATCCTTCTCATATCTGCTTCTATTTCCCGACATAATGTGTTCTTTGGCCTTCCGCCTTTCCGCCTCCCTTCAGGATTCCATGTTAGAGCTTGCCTCGTGATGCAGTTTGATGATTTGCGTAATGTACATCCTATTAATTTCCATCGTCTTTTCCTAATTTCTGTTTCATCTGGAAGTTAATTTGTTCTCTCCCACAAAAGGCTGTTGCTGATGGTATCCGGCCAATGGATGTTGAGTATCTTGCATGGACAACTGTTTATAAATACTTGTACCTTCTTGATGATGTTTGTAGTAGTTCTCCAAGTTTCGGCTGCGTACAGTAGAACTGTCTTGATGTTCGTATTGAAGATTGTGACTTTGATATTGATTGAAATTTGTTTTGAGTTCCATATGTTCTTCAATTGTAGGAATGCTGTCCTTGTATGGCCAATTCTTACCTTCATATCTTCCCCAGATCCTCCTTGTTAACTGATGATGCTATCCATGCACTGGAAGCTTTCTGCATTTTCCATAGCACATAGGCAGGGCAGATAGTTCATAGTGGAGAAGATTTGTAGCTCATATGTATGATTTTAATAGAGGTTTGTTCTTTTAGCTGGATGATTTGGTCATATACTGTAAAATAATTTTGTCATTTTGTAGAGGTATGTTATAACTTGTGACCTGAGTTCCCTGTTAACGTATAACTTAATGATACCATCAATTAGGCAGCAGTGACTTATCAATCGAATTAATGACGCGTAAACCCGTTTGAGCGGTCTACAGTACTTATCGGTCGTGATTTCTGATTAGCCCAGCCAGTCAAGTCCAGAACATCAATCTCAACTTCTGCAATATGAATCGTCTATTTCAAACATACTGGGTTTGTATACCAACGAGACAGACCACAACCTACCATAAAATACAAAATACACATTTGTACAAGATCTAGCCAAATGTGGCTGTCAATTAGGGAGGTAGTAATTAATATACTGGGTATAACTCAAGAATGGTAAAACGTAAAATAATAGTTTATGGGTCAAAATAAAGCCTATAATAAGAGGAACATGAATATGAATAGTTGAGTTACTCAATAGTTATACAATAGAAATATACGTTTAGTATTGGTACATCAATAGATAGCCCCCAAATGCCCTGGTACGGCCGAGAGTGAGAAGAGTCCGCTCTCCCTCTCAAAATACTCTCTCACATGGCCACGCGTATATAGCCTCTGTCAGAGAAGTCCTACTCACTGCCTTCTCGTGGCACAGGTGTTGTTTACGAAAATCGGAGGACGAAAAGTGAATATCCGGCACTTTGACAGGATCCCAAATCAATGGTGCACATGGGCTCCAGTATCCTAACGGAAAAAATGGCGTATGAACCAATTTTCGGTCACCGGCTTCCATGGGACTGCATCTCATTACGATGCTCCACTGCCTTCAGGTCGAATGCTCCGGTTGTGTCCCTGTAGGAAAATCACCTGCTTCGGTTTGGGCACCCGGGTAGTATCACAGCCCTCACACATATCGAATAAGATTTGTTTGGCGCATATGTATTTGGTGCCTCCTTGTACGAATATTTATGTGTTAAAATAAATAAATAATCAATCGATCCTAAAAGTTACCATTTATTATGCTTATCGGGACATAACAAGGTAGTAGTAAGTAAACATCTGATTTACATAAGATGAGTACTTCACTTTCAGCTTCTTCAATGGTTCAATTATGTTTAAAGCGTATGTGATTATGTACTGTGGTTTTTACAAATTTCAGAGGTATGGTCTAGCGTCTATCATTAAAATAACCTCACTAAATATATATATCAGTAGTAGTTGTATTGTGTGTGTCCATTAAAACTAATGATCGTATTCGTTACAAACTGATCTTAATCGAGGTACCACTAACGTTCAAGAAGCATTAGAAGTCGATCAATGTATACATGAGACTATTAACAGTTCACATTTACAATCATATCGGGGATCGAAGCCAGAATCTTCTATGTCTTACTTCGAACACTTAACAACTCTACTTAAATTAGAGCGTGATGATAACTAAATGCCATTGGAGACAATTGTTTTACTCCAGATATGTCTGGACTTCATCAGTCACATCTTATTCGAATTTTAAGAGCATCTTAAAGTAAGTCATTAAAGATATGACTACTATGGTTTAATTGAAGACATTTTGATCAGAACGACTTGATTCGTTATCAACCAAGAAGTACTAAACATCTATTTTGTTCTAGTACAAGACTTATCAGAAGTGTTCAGACACGACCTTTTCAAGATCAGCGAAGCTGAACGAACTATGATCAATCTGTAACAAATATACCTTAAAGATTGAACCAATCTTTACACAAAAACCTTTCTTAACTAACTTCTTCTACAACAAAAAAAAACAACAAACAAAGACCTACAAGAACAAGTTGTTTTTCCATTTCATGTAATTTATGATTTTTTTCTTGTAATTCAGTGAATTGTTTACTTTGTTCATCTTGTAAACGACGATGTCGAGTTTCAGATTCTTTTAATAGTTTCTCTGTTTGATTTAAAACTTCAGCACGTTTATTTAATTCATCTTGTCGTTGATCTAAATATTCTTCACGATGTGTTAACACGTCTTGTTCACGAACAAGATCACATCTGAATGAAAAATAAAAGAACAAGTGAATGGTGAAAAAATACAAAGTACAAGATGACATATATATATGGAGAAAACTTCACTCCCACTTGAAGTTTATACTGATGATGTTGTTTAGAAGAATGATGAAAGCTTCACGACTAAAGCATTCAACTCAAAGAACAAAACTCCATGCGCACTGCTGAGGAGTCCCACAATAGGACAAAACGGCCGTCCAGTGAGAAGCCGTGATCAGTGGAGCTAATCCATGTCGGGTAGAGACAGGTATCTACCTCAGTACAATGGGAGATGGTCGCGCAATTTTGTGGATTGGTTGATGTTAGACACTATCACCATTGGATGCCAGCTCAGTGGTCCAGTCGGTTAAGCGTTCGCGCACAAGACCGAAGGCCCTAGGTTCGAATCCTGCGAGCGGTATCGTGGATGCTCACTGCCGAGGAGTCCCACGATAGGACGAAACGGCCGTCCAGTGCTTCCAGGTTTCCAATGGCGGTGGTCTAATATCAATCGATTCATGATCTCAATCAAAAAAGTATAATTTGATCTCATTTGAAACTTTTTTTAGCAAAGTGCAGAAAACAGTTTTTATGGGATCATTACATGTTACCTATTTTATTCAATATTCAATAGACTTTGTCTACCAGCGAATAGAAATGAAGTCAAATCTCCAATATCTTAGATCTTTATGAACCAATCCAATTATTCAATCATAATGATCGATGTTGAAAAGATCAAGTTGGTCGTCATTGTTTGATAAGTTAATGATCTTGGAAGGGTTGATTAAATGAAAACATGAGGTATGTAGAAAATCGGGAAAAGCAGTGAACTTGGTCAACTAGTTGATCAATAATTTCTTGATTGAGATTATCAATCGAATGATGTTAGACGACAATTGAAAACATGGGAGCATTAGACTCCTCATCAGTGAGAATCCAGGATCCCGCACAGGGGATTCGAACCCAGAGCCTTCGGTCTTTCATGAGAACGCTTAAACTCTAGATCACTGAATCGGAATTCCATGGTGTTAAGGTCTAACTTCAATCAATCCACGAAATCGCACGACCATCTTCCATTGTATGGAGGTAGATACATGTCCCTACATGACATGGATTAACTCCACTGATCATCGTTGAGTAGTCCCAAAATAGGACGAAACGGTCGTCGAGTGGTTCCAGACTTTCAATGGTTTTCTAACATCATTTGATTCATGATCTCGATCAAAAATGTAACAATCTCCTAAACCTCAATATTGATCATTAATTATTTAAATTATTCACAATGAAACACATATTTTTGTGTAAAGGAAAAACAACACAATAATAAGTAACCTGACGATATCCAATTGTTGTCGAGTTTCTTCTAATTTCATTTCATCAATTCTTAATTTATTCATTTTCTCATTCAATGATTGACGTTCCATTGCTAATTTCTCTTTCATTGCATCAATATCTTCTTTAGCCTAAGTAGTAAAATGTTAATCAAGTAAAATTTGACAGTTCAAATGTTTTCTAACAAAAAAAGGCAACAATTGACCACGTTGAACAAGAACTCAACGATATGAAAAGATGATACTGTCTTAAACATATACCTTGACTGGACCACTATTGTGAATATAGAAGTAATGGGCGGACGTTTCATCTTTGTATGAGACTATTCAGTAGTATGGATTCATCACTCCGCATCCTTACTTACGCCTGTTACTCCCAATTGAGCATATACTGCCGACCAGAATTCTCTAACCCATTTTGTCCTCCGCCTTCCTTTCTTATTCTATCCAATGTTTGTTCATTCTTCTCATTTCTGTCTCCATTTTTCGATATAATGTGTTCTTTGATCTTCCTCATTTCCTTTGGCATTGAGGATTCCATGTGAGGGCTCGGCGTTGTGACGTAATTGAGCGCTTTCCTCAATGTGTGTCCTATCCTAATTTATTCCTCCGCTGGAATCTGGTTTATTCTCTCCCACAATAAGTTGTTGTTGATATTGTCTAGTCAACGGATCCGAAATATTTTGCGCAGTAGCACCGGAGAACTTTCAGGAGGAATTCATTTCGCATTCGGGAGATATCAATTACAACACAATTACGAATATAATTCACCAATGAAATTATTGTTACTTATTCTGAATACAAAGAAGTTGTTCTATCTGTATAGAGAACTCATTGACCATTTATCAAATATGTTTACACTCAATTATTACGTAATTTCTGACATGTGATTTTCAAGTTTTTCATTACTAATAATTGGGGTACACGAAACTGTCCTACGTACTACAGACACCATCAGTCAGTCAGTCAGTAACAACGTAGAACTTCGTACGTACGTACGTACGTCCATCAGTTCGAGTTGCTACACCATATTAGCACAGAGACGCAGTTGTCGATTCCAATCCCATAGTGGTAGAGGCGGTAAGAGTATAAGCAGTAATCGGAAACATTCGGGTTTGAAGATGTTATTCAAGGAGTACAGATACCATATCACATTTGATATTTTGTATTATTTCAATTTTTGCATACTAATAGTTAATCTTCTCTTCTCATAAACATACCTCGTGTGTATATTACATAAACAGAACATATTAGAACTATACAAAATGTATATATCTTATTCAGGTCATTCATGCATATAAAACACTTCATAACTAGGGTCATATTCATTTTTTAAGTTTACAATTTTATAGCTATAACAACATCTTAAACTGGCATATATCTCAACGTTTTATGAGTAAAGACAGATAATGGCTAGCAGTGGAATCAAGGACGTGGGTTTCGTCCTGGTTGGGACTCGTCAGTTATTATTTACTTTGAGACTTCGGACGCCATCATGTTATCCACTTAGCTTCTGAGTTATGATAGCCATCTGCTTGTGCAGGTGAACATCAACTCTGAGATGTAGGTACATTCGGCTGATGAAACACATGTCCTGGATTCCACTGTTATCCACTATCCATATTTGCTTATAAAGCTTGTGACTTCAAGCAATATCGGGGCAGTCTGCACAGGATACACATATTCCAATACGAGACTGATTAATTGCATTCCTAAACATCGATGGGAAGACTAAATAAATAAGACTAAAATAATATTGTGGTGTGTGCTACTTATATCGACAAATATAAGTAGTATATATGTCGAAAATGGAATGCCTGGTGGCAGAAAGTCGGGAAGATTGAAGAGAAGAGAACGAGAACAAAGAGTGATTGGTATGGATGTAAAGGAACAATCAAGTCTGAGGCAATTGATGAACGTTTTGTAAATGAAGTATTTACTATATGGTTTTCAGATTTTACTAAGAGATTCTGTAATTGAATTGTCCCCGCTTGTGTTCTTGTTCACTGAGATGTTATTCATATTCCTTAATTATTTACTTGTTATCATTTATTGAATTAAATCTGATGTCAGTAGTGACTTATTTAATTCACTTAATTAAGCATATATTAATCTAGTAATATGAAGCTGGCCATGAGGTCCTAGGTCCAAGTCCTGAATGGGTTGTGAGTTTATGATTCTGAAGATTCTCACAAAGGGACAAAACAGTTATTCAATTCTACCTACTTTTCAATGCTCTTCTAACTGTGACTGATTCATGACAAATATCATTTGAAGTTAGGAACTAAACAAAATCTAAGTTCAATTAAGTATTTAAATACGTAGGATCCACCTAGGAATATTTGAAAACCCTCATTCCAAACTAATGGTGCAAATGGGCTACAGGGTCCTGAGGGAACAAATGGTGTATGAACGTACTGTTGATCAGTGACTACCATGGACGTGCATCTCCTACGGTTGCTCCACTACTTTGTGGATTAGATCTTTAGGTCAAAGGTTTGGGGTGTGACCCCCTGGTAAAACCACCTGCTTTGGTTTGGGCACCCAGGTAGCATCGAAGCTTTCACACAGATCAATGATAAATACTACTGGCCTCATTGGTATTGTGTGACGTATATGTATTTGGTGCCCCCTTGTACCAATGTTTATGTATTTAAATAGAATAAATGTTGAATATAATAACAAGGGATCATGAGCTAATTGAAGCTAAACCATCATGGAAAACCTGAAAGCACTAGACGGTCGTTCCGTCCTAGTATGGGACTCCTCAATAGTGTGCATCCACAACACCGCTTCGTGAGATCCGAACCTAGGATATGTCAGTCTTGCGCGCGAGCGCCTAATCACTGAGCCGATATCAAACGGTATTAATTAGGTCTAACTTTAACCAATGCAAGAAATTGAACGACACATCCACCATTGTCATCAATGAGTTACTATCTCACAATAGACCCGGTTGAGCTCACATGTATATATATGACTTTCTGTCTTGTTTTTATCTTTTTGAATTGCTTTCTTTAAAATAAGTCAATATTATTGATGACATAATCAAGGAGGGGGAAAAGATGTACAAAATTGTATCGCTTATGTAACAACAAACATAGTCGATAGAAAAAACCCCAGTAACTTGATTTTCAGTTAATGTAACATTGTTTTAATTAGTATATTCTTTGTACCCTTCAAGTAATTGATTGATCTAACTGTTATGAGAGAGATAGAGAGATAAGACAAAGATTGTTTGTATGATGTATCCCTCATATAACCGCTGAATTCGTAAGTAAGTAGGATTCGCTCTGATCGAACTTATAGTTAGTGAGTACAACTGATTGATCATTGAGTAGTGACCAATGTTATGTATGTAAGTTCTTCTTAGTACTGATTGAGTTCTATTGATTCAGATGTAATATATGGCTACCAGTCTAAGTGATTCGATATTATGTGTACTATATTTTGAAGTTGTAAAAGATTGTCGATAAGAAATCCTGGATCTAAGTTTCTTGATATTTAACACTTATTAGCAAGGTGTACACCTGTGATCTTGAAGGAAACGATGGTTAATCAATTGTAAATACATCACAATCCTATAATAAACTAGTCATCGTACCAGTAGCTTAGTAAAGTCTTGGACCAAAGGACTAATCAATTAGGGGTCCAACTCACCGGGGAGTATCAATCTTTTCAAGACTAAGAGTACGAAACAGTTCAAAACCAAGCCCTAAAGTTTCCCGTTGACTACTTCTAACAACTGCCTGATTTAAGTAAATAAATCATGCACAGTATCGGGTTCACACGATGTGTCCATGAGTCGGTTCAATCAGCTTATTTATATACTGTAAACGTTTAAGCATTGTGAAAACAGTGTTTAATGCTTGATTAATCGAAACAATGATCTTGGATTTTCGCAAGATATACTGTATGTTCTTTAGTGATATGTATCTGATGTACAATAGGGAATCAAACATCAGAACTTGAATCTCACATTCTACAGAAATCTACCAATTTAGTAAGCATTCATTTAAAGTCTAGTGTACAAACATTCAATGAATAGTTTAATATTTGTTTTCAGAAATCTGTTGATGAATATCTGAAGCAAAACCAGTAGATTGACTAACTTTATATACATTCTAATGAACAGTTGAAGAATTCTCACAAGTATTAATCAAAAACGAATACCTATAAATATGTGTCTAAATAACTCAGTAACCGTTGATTTGAAATGAGTTATTAGCTGGGATAAAAATTCCGGAAGATGGAAGGGATTATATTAAAGATTTAGCATTGAATATTAACACTGGAACCATCCAAGTAACGAGTAATGAACTAGATGAAACTTTCATCTTTGATTTCACCCTTGTTTACTCTGTTAAGACACCCGCTTAGAGGGAAATATCTATATTAACAGATACTTTGATCATGTGTATTCCTAAATACTAACAATGAGAAAACACAAACATAAACGAATGAAATTTCCTGTCCGTTAGCATCACCTTTCATTGGATCCTTAGTTCCGTCTTTTTATTGCTTCACATCACACTACTTATTATTTTTTCAGTAACCTGTCTTATATTCACTGAATTTTATGACTTGTTGATTACGATGTATCCACAATTGATGGATCACTGGGTGGCAATCAATGTCATGTGTGTCCAGTCCTTATTATTAGTGCAGATCGAATGCTATCGACCATGTTGCAATGTGGCCATCAGTCTAGGTGACTCGACACTGCAGGCACTATATATTGAGATTTAGATGGTGGTTGGAAATAGTCAACAGGAAACCCTGGACCGGCGTTTCGTGCTACTTGGAACTCGTCAGCAAGGTGTACCTGTGATCTCGAGGGAACTGGTGCTCCCTGATCACCACCCAATGATCAATCAATTGTGATTACATCTCAGTCCTACAGGAGGTCAGTCGCGGCTCGGATAGCTCAGTGGTAACGTCTCTGACTGTGAAGCTGGATGACACGAGATCGAATCCGTCAGGGAGCACCAGTTCCCTCAAGATTACAGGTACACCCTACTGACGAGTGCCAAGTAGCACGAAACCCAGGTCCAGGGTTTCCTGTTGACTACCTCCAACCACCATCTTGATTATGATGTATGCTTATTTATTACAATACTATTCAATCCTTTACTTATTTCAATGCTATCGTACTTTTTTCTATCCTCGCAAATGTCCCCCCTATTCAACTGCGTCTTGTTCGGTATTTTTCAAAACTTTATATTTTAAATGTTTGTGTAATTTCAAATAGCTTTTAAACCACTTTCGTTGATAACTAATAAGTTCAACTTGACACAATCATGTGTTATCATTTGATTTACACAATTGATTGATCACTGGGTAGTGATCAATATCATCTGTGTCAAGTCCTTATTAGTGCAGATCGAATGCTATCGGCCACAAGTCTAGGTGACTCGACACTACGGGCACTATATATTGAGATTAGATGGTGGTTGGAAGTAGTCAACAGGAAACCCTGGACCTGGGTTTCGTGCTACTTGGCACTCGTCAGCATGGTGTACCTGTAATCTTGAGGGAACTGGTGCTCCCTGACGGATTCGATCTCGTGTCACCCAGCTTCACAGTCATAGATGTTACCAATGAGCTATCCAGGCAACCAACAACCTCCTGTAGGACTGAGATGTAAGCACAATTCATTGATCACTGGGTGGTGATCAATAACATGTGTGTCAATTTCTTATTTAATGCAGATCGAATGCTATCGATCATGTTACAATATGGCCACCAGTTCAGGTGACTCGACATTGCGGGCACTATATATTGAGATTAGATAGTGGTTGTAGGTAGTCGGCAGGAAACCAAGTAGCCATGAAACCTGGGTCCAGGGTTTCCTGTCGAATAGCTCCAATCCCCATCTAATCTGATTTACAGTACACATTGTATTTGAATAATTATTCGTTTCATCGAAGGACATGGTTCATTTAGCAGAAAAATGTTTACCTTCTGTCTTGGAATTTCAAGCTTATTTCAGTTTATTTCGCTAAAAAAAATTGTGAGGTAAATCACATACAAATTACATTTAGATACATTTTAGATATCAAAAGGGGTTTTGTGGATATTATTATTATAGTAATTTTTTAGTAGTTGAGATCATGAGTTCATTGAAGCGAGACCATCATGGAAAACCTGGGAGCATTGGATAGCTGTTTCGTCCTATCTTGAAATTTTTCAACAGTGCTCATCCATGATCCTGCCTTGCAAGATTCGAATCCAGGACCTATCAGTCTCGTGTGCGAGCGCTTAACCTCTAGATCACTGAGTCAGCATCTAACGGTGTTCATTTTAGATAGTTAACTGAGTATAAAAATATACAATACTTTTTTTAAAGCTAATTCATCTGATTTTTGTTTCGATTCCCAATTTAATTGTTCTGTACGTAGACGTTGATATTCTTCAGCGATTAAATTACGTTCTTCTAAATTTTTTACTTGAGCATTACGATGTTCATTGATGAATGTAGACTAAAATATTAAAAGAGAAAAAAATTTGAAAATCAGTTTACTATACATGAATTTCTATGATCAATCAATTTGATTGATTTTTAGATATCAATGCCAGGATCAAAATGATTACGAATCATCTAGCCCTAGGTGAAGGCTTGCCATTGCACTCTGGCATATTGAGGCCTGAAACGATCCATAGTCGGGTTTACTCGGACGTGATATGCGGCGGCCTGCTTGAAACGTCTGGGCTACCTGTTTCTGTACTCTAGATATTTCAACAAGTTATCTGTTTTTACTTGATTTAACACAATATTATGTTTATTAATCATACAACCTATTAAGGTGTATTTATGAAAAGTTTACAACCTTCCGTTGTACAACTTACAAAAAAAGGCCAATAAGAGATATCGTAGTTGTTAGCAATATACAGAGAAAAGAATGTATACTATTCACATGTCGATTCCTGAACTGCTAACTTCTATCGGAAGACCACTCAATCAGTCAGTCAGCTACAACGTAGGATTAGATACATATATGCATCAATCCAAGTTGCCATGCCTCATTAACACAAGATGAACACCAGATTCATAGGAGTGGTTAAGTTAATGGTGGTAATATATGGGAGAAAGATTGTATATAAGTATATAGTACAGAAAGAAAGAATCAGTTCGTAGAAAGAAAGATATGAAGTGATTTTAATCTCACAGTTTAAGAGAAGACAGACTGTGTATACACCGACGCCATTGTGATCGATTATGAGCCATGTCACCAAGAGTCTCCAACCATTAGTTAAGATAGTCACGCGGACCCCAACCAAGTAGTCTGCATCTCCCAACATGGCTCAGACTAGTAGTAACTTCAAGTACTGATGACACGTTTTGGTTTGGCCACCCCTAACTTTATTCCAACCATTCCGAACACCGGTTACCATTGCACGTCGTGGTAATCGGTGTTCAGGCATACGTAACACGTGGCCCAACCATCTCAGTCGATGAAGATTAACAACCTCATCAACTGATTTACCATCATTCCATAATACCCTGCGTTTAACCTGACTATTAATTACCCGGTGATCCCAGCAGACGCCAGCCATATTTCTAAGGCATCTGTGGTCAAATACTAGTAGCTTACGAATATCTTCTACTCCTAAAGGCTATGTTTCGCTGCCGTAAAGTAAAACAGAATGGACTGCCACACAGTATACTCGTACTTTTATTGATAGACGGATATCTCGCCTTCGGCATAGGTGACGTAAGTTGGCAAAAGCCAAACGAGCTTTTCGAATCCGTGCTGAGATTTCGTCAGACACCAGCCCATTAGAGCTGATCAGACTTCCAAGATAAGTGAAGTTGTCGAGGCGTTCGACTACTTCACTCCCTATCCTTAGTTCAGGTGTTGACGCAGACCAGTTCTGAAGCAACGACTTGCATTTCGAAAGGGGGGAGAAGCGCATTCCAAACATTCTGGCATTGTTGCTCAGTGCTACCAAAAGACTCTGCATTTTGTCAGCGTCTTCACCAAACAGGACTATGTCATCTGCGTATTCTAAGTTGATAAGTGGACCTCCTGGTTGGAGATCAATACCAGTGAATTCAGTCGACGAGACCACTCAATATCTGTCGTTAGAATCGACCAAGAAGTAAGAAACGGGAACTTGTTGAAATACTCTGTGTTGAGCATTCTATACTGTACTAAAAATATGATAGTGAATAAAGGTAATAAAAATATAATATATTATAGGTTGGACTTGATAGTTTCAAATATATTGAATATTGAGTTTTGTTCCCTCCTAATGAGTAGAAAAAATTGAGTTCCTGACATTATAGAAAATGATAAGAGGATTAGTGTATAACTTTGACATCTTTGAACTTTTAAGAAAATGAGAAATTTTAAACAATTAGGATATTATCAGAAGGGGTTTTGTGGAGATTTTAGAGATTTCACTGATTGAAATCGTGAATCAATTGAAGCTAGACCACCATGGAAAACCTAGAAGCACTGGACGACCGTTTCATCTTAGTATGGGACTCTTCAGGAGTGCACACCCACGATTCCACCTCGCGTGATATGAACCCAGGATATATCAGTCTCGCGCCAGGTGCTTAACCAACAAGACCACTGAGCCGATATCCAACGGTGTCATTATCTAACTTCAACTAATCCACAGAATTGAGTGACACATCCACCATTGTCATCAGTGGGTTCCTATCTCACAACTGACCTAGTTGAACTCCACTGGTAACGGCTTCTCACTAGAACTCTAGGAGTATCTCTTGAAGTCAGCCACTAGCGAGAATGATAGGTCCTGAGTTCGAATCTCGCGGGGTACGGGATCGTGGATGCACACTGCTGAGGAGTCCCATACTAGGGCGAAACGGCCTTCCAGTGCTTCCAGGTTTTCCATGGTGGTCTAGGTTTAATTGACTCATGATTTCAATCAATGAAATTAGGATATTAATTAAAAATGACTGATTCATTGAAGAGTTCTCTTTTCGGTGAATTCATTTTCAAAGTTATACTTATGGTAATGATAACAAAACGAGATGGAACTCTAAGAAGATCTATTTACAGAAAACTTATGTGGAATGACCAACTATCAAGTGTTTACAGCTGGATCCCCATTAGTGAAAAACGAAATGTCATAATATCACTCGGTACGAGAATACAAAAAATTTGTAATCCCACAGTTATAGATGACTAAACTGGGCCTTTTGAAGGGAATATTTATCAAAAACGGGTATCCTTCGATATTCATTGATGAGAACATAAAACTGAAAACGCTTTAAACACAAATAACTTCAGTTAAAAAGAAAATATTATAGATGAACATGAACTTTAAGAGTGACAGAGCTACATACGTTTTGAAGAGGATTTCTGATTCTTTAAAAAAAGTGTTCTTCGCAGCAACGCTGAGAATAATATTTTCCATCCAATCATTGTTCATCAATAATCTTAAAGATAAATGATCTCATCTGACCAATTCAATGAGCATTTACCAATTTACCTGCTCATATGGAGCCAGGTATATAGGTTGTTCGATGCGTACTTTGTCTAAAATAATTTAAGGACATTATCCGGCGTGACTGAGAAGAGGAGGGAACGGCTCAATAAGAAGTTCAATAATCGAACACATTTTGAATACAAATTACTCAATCAAGATGGACTCTGCGTTTAAAATCATCTACAAAGTAAGTAGAAGTTTCCCAAAGGCAGTTATATTGCATCTTCTTACCATTGCCGAAGCAATAGCCATAGATCTGGGGAAAACCAGACTTGTGTATCTAAAAGAGTTGTTACAACCTCTTCTTCTATCATGGTCTTAATGTCTTATAATTTTTTTCTTCATATTTTTCTTCTTTTACAGCCATCTGCCTCCTCTTCCATCTTCTCTTTAAACCTTCTACCCCCAACTGACTTATTTCTGTTTCTATGATCCTACTAATTACATTTCATTTGAATTTTATCTTATCATGCTGAGCCATCCTTTCCCAATGATAATTTCTCTATGTATCTTTATGATGAATATTTAGGCCATTAACAATCAAACTATTATTAGTTTTCAGTATAGGGTTATGAAGATTATTAAGTTATTTATTGAGATCATAAACTGATTGATGTTAGACCACCATTGAAAGCCTGGAAACACTAGATGGCCATTTCGTCTTATTGTGAGACTCTTTAGCAGTGCGCATCCCTAACCCCGCTCATGGGATTCGAACCCTGTTTAAAATCTTTTTCATATCTCACAACTCACCTGTTCACTTACTAATATTCATGGATTTGAGCTGCTATAGAATTTTATCATAGGAAGGAATAGTTGTCTACTGTTGCTTGATTTTGAAGCAAACTCTAACTTGGGTTAATATATGATCAATACTCAATCTTTCTTTTCTATATTACCATCACGAAATTAACTACTTCTATGAATCCGATGTTCATCTTGTTGTGCTAATGAGGTATGGTCTACATTGCCTGGTCACAATGTTGTAGCTGACTAACTGACTGATAAATACTTCATACAAATCAACACTATTATTATTCAATTCATTGTATTTATCATATCAAAATGGATACATAGAATTCACTTACTACTAATTGTTGCATTTCAGCACGTGCTCTTCCTGACTGTTCAATAAGACAACGTCTTTCTTCTTCTAAACTAATTTGAATTTTTGCCAATCTATCATGTTCTTGTTTTGTTAACCATCTATCCTAGATTACAATAATAAAAATGAACCCTGAAAGATGATATTCGTTAGCTATTCAACTAAGAATGTATATTCATTCTATTTTCAGTTTTATTATAAAAACTGTGTATTTTATACAGATGTTAACGGTAATATCAAATGTTGTTGATATAATGCCTCCAAATGCCTTGGGGTACATTCGAGAGTGGAGAGATTCAGCTACCCCTCTCGAAATACTCTCACACTGTCAGCGAATACAGTCACTTCCTTCTCGTATCGGAGGTGTTATTTACGAAATTGAAAGGACGAAAAGCGAGTGTCCGACGCTTTAACCTGCTCCACCTAAGGGTGTCGGAAAACTAATGATGCACATGGGCTCCAGGATTCTAAGGAAACGAATGGTGTATGAAACTATTGTTGATTACTGATTACCATGGGACTGTATCTCCTTACATTGATCTCAACCATTTAGTCGATCATTCATAGGCAACGTAGAACCTGGCATGTATTGTATATCAGCTGAAGTTATCATACCAAAAAGCACAGCAAGATAAATCTCATAGCAACAGAAGTAGTAATACTAGCATATTAGTAGAAAACGTTAGTCACTGATAATATAGTTCAACATGGAAGAATGAATTTGTAAATTAGAAAAAAGCACATGATCATTTTAAAGTCAAAGATATAAAGGGGGAAACCAAGAAGTGGATTCTCCCTTTGTGATTGATTCTAAATCATGTCACCAAACACCTTAAATCAGTGGATTATAGTTACCGCGCAGACACCAACCAAGTAATCTGAATTCATCAATACAGTTTAGTCTCACAGTTGAATATGTCATGAACTGATGCTACATCAGATATTCACAAACAAATGAACGAATTATTGATTTAGTCATATTCTTTCTATATAAAATACTAAATAAGCAACATTGAACTAATAAATCTAGAATGTAAGAAATAACAGCTAACATTCGATAAAGCAATATGATCAAGTACCAATGTAGCATTTCAGTTATGGCTTCAGATTACTTCACTGGATTGAAAGTAAACAATGAAGCTTAACGCTGAGTTCATTAACGATGAAGATCATTTCAAAGATGAAGAACAACAATTTGACTTGAAATGTATTGAGTTATATTGTGTGAGATAATTTCTTATAATCTAATACAATAGAATTGAACAGTATTGACATCAAACTTTTCAACGTTTTTCCTAAACAACTTGTGTTTACCTTACAAATTGTAATAAAGAGATGGATAGTAATAGTTGATAGTAATATTATAAGGCGGATGCGCACTGCTGAGGAGTCCCACAATAGGACGAAACGGCCGTCCAGTGCTTCCAGGTTTTCCATGGTGGTCTAGCTTCAACTGACTCATGATCTTAACCATTGAAATTACTACAATCCCCACAAAAACCCATCTGATAGTAATATTCTAGTTGATCATGCACAGAGGTGGTGGACTGTAAAGCGAGTCAGTCAGTCAGTAACGACGTAGAACTTCGTACGTACATACACCAGTTCGAGTTGCCACACCACATTAGCACAGAGATGCAGTGGTCGATTCGAATCCCGTAGTGGTAGAGGGGGGGGTAAGCGTATAAGCAGTAATCAGAAACATTAGGGTTTGAAGATGTTATTTAAAGAGTATAATCCATTGAAATAGATTTGGAAAGAGAAAAAAAGAGACAAGGAGGACGTGAAGAATTCAGAAGATTAGAATTTGGGAGAACACAAAAAGTGTATGCACCTGCACCATTGCAAACGATTCAGGGTCTCTAACTATCGATTGCTATCATTTCGCAGTCCCCAACCAGGTAGTCTACACCTACCAACATGACTCAGTCCACTTGTCAGTGACTTCATGGACTTGTGCCATGTTTTGGTCTGGCCGCACCTAGCTTTCTTCCAACCTACTCCTATACCATTGAGCATCGCACGTCAAGTCAGTCGGTCGTTGGGCATACGTATCACGTGTCCCAGTCATCTCAACTGATGAAGTTTCACTACTTCATCAATTGATTTGCCATCCTTACCTAGTACCCGTTTCCTAACAACTGTGTTACTTACTCGATGGTCTCAGGATATACGAGCAATGCTTTGAAAACCCCTATGATCGGATAGTAGTAACCTACGAATATTCTCTACTCTTACCGGCCATGTTTCACTACCATAAAGTAGGACGGAACGAACTGCTGAGCAGTAAACACGTCCTTTAGTTGATAGACGGATTTTAGCAGTGCCGATGAGAAATGGTGTGGGTCATAGCCATACATTTGTAACAAATTAAGGCCTATCGAATTGATGAGGTTAACATAGATACTGAATATTTCTCAATGTATTGATTTTGATGAATAACATATTGTTAAATTCATCTTCCCATTATACTATACATATGAATTTGGATTAACAAGAAGTCTTGTTTAAACTCATCTTCCCATTCATTTGAATCAGTTATTTGAATTTTCTCATTTATATTTAGAACTGCGAATGATCCTTCTGTTATAAGCATATGTGCATCCTGTGCGAATTACCTCAATATTGCCTTAAGTCACAAGCGTTATAAGCATTTAATCTTAATTGGGACTCGTCGATTGCATGTACATAGATCCCAGAGTTGACGTTCCCTCCGGTATTGGAACCCAGTATTGTTCGCTTCAAATGTCGTAATCATCTTCATACCGATAATCACATTGTATCCATTGATTTCGCTAATCCCAATGGAACTTCTCCTAGTCATATATATCAGATTTCACAGTCTTATAAACCTTAAATATAGTCAACTACATTACTATGTTCAAATGGAAGACATAACTGATCTACAATTACATTTGTATACCATCAAATATTGACTTAATGATCTAAAGCGTAGGAGATCAAAGGTTTTAGGTTCGATTCCCGATAGCAGGGTTACAGATGAGCGTTTTTAAAGAGTCCTATACAACGACTAAATGACCATTCAGCTGTTCAAGACTTCCAATGGTTATCTAACTTAGATTGATTCAACATATTATTAAGACAATACTCATATTTATAATGATAAAAACTTACATCTGTAGCCAACTTATTATGTTCACGAAATTGAATTTCCAATTTGGAAAATGAATCTGCTATCTGTTTTCGTTCATAATCCAATGAAGTCTCCTTTAGAGAAGAAATAATCATTCAATGACAACAAAACAATGGTAGGTTATGGGAAGTAATCGACAGGAAATCCTACGTGACTGTGGTTTCATATTTGTTAACGTAGAATTCAAACTTATGTCATTTAAAGTTACAATGAGTAACAATAACGCTGAATCATTAGGGAGTTTACAATTTCCCCATAGTCTATTATACTAAGAGATTCGACATCACATTGACTTGAAACTTAATATTGGGTGGTTAGAAACAACTAGTTGAAAGTCATGGTTCCCCCTCTAGGTGCAGATCAGATCCAAAAAGTAGGACAATTTAGGGTTTCCTAACATAAAATGTTTACTCTTTAGAATAAACATCTACATGTATGAATGTCGATACATCTTAATTGAGATTCCTACTGACCGACATGAATTTGCAACTATTATTACGCATTATTTTAAACAATACGATGATCCATCAGTATGGAGGATTGTGAAGAATGTTAAGTGTTAAATCGATTTAGATCAGTTAGTGATTTCCATAAAATGATCATCGATTACAATTGGTTCGTGAAAACTATTCACAACCACAGTCATCTTATTGACGAAGTGAGTTTTTATTTCCAAAAAGGTTATTGATGACATTAGCTTTATTGAATTGATGCTAAAATTGTTTATACTCACTAGAGCTAGAACATTGATGACTCGGATGCTGGAAGAATAGAGATGAATCAGTATAAATTGAAACAACTCTCGAACTCAAGGCATCACCACCCAGTGATCAATCAATTGTGATAACATCTCAGTCCTACAGGAGGTTAGTCACGGCTCGGATAGCTCAGTGGTAACGTCTCTGACTTTGAAGCTGGGTGACACGAGATCGAATCCGCCAGGGAGCATCAGTTCCCTCAAGATTACAGGTACACCTTGCTGACGAGTTCCAAGTAGCACGAAACCCGGGTCCAGGGTTTCCTGTTGACTACCTCCAACCACCATCTAAATCTCAATATATAGTGCCCGCAGTGTCGAGTCACCTAGACTGGTGGCCACATTGCAACATGATCGATAGCATTCGATCTGCACTAATAAGGACTAGACAAGCATGATATTGATCACCACCCAGTGATCAATCAATTGTGAATCCATTGTCTCATATTTCATTGTTCATGCGTTTTCTTACAAATTCCATTGTGTTCTCGCTCTTCCTTTCTTGATCTTCCCCCATCTTCTGCTGCAAGACATTATGTTTTTAACTCGCGTCATATACTACTTACATCAATATAAGTAGCACGCACCACAGTGGAGCTTTCATCGTTCTTTCGAACAACATCGTCAGTACAAACTTCAGGTATATATGATTATACTAATTAATTCTGATAATAAAACCTGCGAAATTGTAACAAATTTCCCTTTGTATACTTATGTAACTTGTGATTATTTAATGAAGACGTACAAAATGTAATTCCTATCTATATCTGATTGTTTTTGTGATTAGTCGTGCCTCCATGTTGCATTTGATAGACGACTTCTATAATGATCCATTCTCATTTCTTCAAAGGATAGAGAAAGATGGGGAAAATATGTTAACCATCACAGTGCTACTCTTGTTGAGTTGTTCAGTAATCAGACTAGCAATAGGCTTTAGACATTCTTTGGAAGCGAGTAATTACATTCAGTCGATTGACATAATTAGTTAATTAAAACAAATTTAAAATATCAGAAAGGGGTTTTGTGGATATTATAGTAATTTCAATAGTTGAGGCCATGAGTCGACTGAAGCTAGATCAGTATAGTACCACAGAACTTCCAAGAAGAAGATCGTCCCGTAATTTCGTGAATTGGTTGAGGTTAGATATTAACACCGTTGGATACCGGTCGGCTCAAATGGTCTGAAGGCCCTGGGTCCAAACCCCGCGGGTGAAATCTTGAATGCGCATCACTGAGGAGTTTCACAGTAAGACGAAACGGCCGTTTAGTGCTTCCAAATTTTCAATGGTGATCTAACATCAGTCGGTTCAAGATCTCAAACAATAACTTCATCATCTCCACAACCCTATACTGATAAGATGTTTCTGTCATTTACTTCTTTCAGTAATGAATGAACAACAAACAAACCAATTTATTAAGACTTACACGTTGATTTAATTTATCTTCAAGTATATGTAATGCTTCTTCACGTCTTGTTAATTGATCATGTCGTATTGTTGTATTTTTTATTTGTTCTTGTTGTGATCTACTTAAATCGATTAAAGTAGTTTTTATTTGTTCTAAAAGATTTTTTAATTGTTCACTATTTGGTTGTAATTCAGTGATTGTACGTATTTCATGTTGTGAAGCACATTTTAACCGATCCATTAATTCTTGATGATGTTTTTTTAACATTTCAATTTCTTCACTGAAATGGGTTTTTTTTTAAAAGAGGTAGCTGTTGTTTCACAAAATGGCATTCATCATCAATTGACCATAGATATTAGAAAGAAATCAGTCATTATTTCATCTTAATATGATAATGTTTAGTACTGAGTATTCATAACCTCATCAGGGATGAAACTCAAGGGACCTATGGACTGAGAGTATTACATTTAGACTTTGAAGCAGGGAATTTAGCCAGTAACAGCTGAAGAGTCTCACACTAGGAAGAAGCAACTGATCATTAATTGTCTAGCTGAAGTCAACCTATGAGCTAAAACCACTTTTTATATTGGATAAATCATCATATCATATCTAAATAAATAGATAGTTTTACTTCAATAATAGAGAAATTGTGCCATTCAATCTGAAGGTCATTGAGTGATCTATTTTCCATTTCAAATACTGTTCTAGAATCTGTTACTTTAAGGATCAAAAATGAATGATAACAGTTGGAAAGTTATCTTAATGAAGAAAAAAACAGGGGCGATTGACGTTGCTGAATACCAAGTGTACTAATTAGATAAATTATCTAGGTTAATCCACATACCTTGTGAATAACTGTTCTGTTCACACTGACAATAGGTTAGCGGGCGATGTCTATCAATTGTTTAAATCTGGTCAGATTTCTACGATCGATTTGGAATTTCTCCACTAGTGTAGGTGGCTCAATATCGAAATGCAATCCATTTTAATTTAAGTTGTTGGTTAGGAAAATGGGCAAAATATCAAGCTTTATCTAAGCAATCATTAGAATGACTTTTCAATAGTAAAGAGCTGAAAAAGATGATATCACTCACCATTCATTAACCAATCAACGTGCATAACTCAGTCCAACAAAAGGTTGATCACCACCTGAACAGTTCAGCGGAAGCGTTTCTAACTGGAACTGAGTAGTAACATGAGTATGAATCTTATGCGCAGCATCAGTTTCTTCAATATTGCAGATAAGCTTTGTTGGGAAGTATTAAGTAACAAAAATTTTGATAATACATGGCTTCCCATCAATTGATTGTAACCTTGTTTTTACCGGGAATCATAACTGTGACATTAAACAGCCCAGTGTCTATAATATTCTAAAGCTCTGTTTTTTACATATACATCAAGTGGCATTAGATAGACTACGAGATTATTATTATTATTTTAGTATTTAGACACATAAACAATGGTACAAGGAGGCATGAAATAGATATGCGCCACATAAGTCATTCGATTTGTGTGGAGGCACCAAATTATTTTATTTTAACACATAGATATTGGTACAAGGAGGCACCAAACAACATATGCGCCACACAAATCTCATTTGACTTGTGTGAGGGCTCTGATACTGCCCGGGTGCCCAAACCGAAGCAGGTGATTTTCTTAGGGAGCCACTCCCCGAGCCTTTGACCTGAAGGTCTGACGCACAAGGCAATGGAGCATCGTAAGGAGACGCATTCCCATGGAAGCCGGTGACCAACAATTGGTTCATACACCATTTGTTCCCTCAGGATACTGGAACCCATGTGCACCATTGGTTTGGGATCGGGTTAAAGCGCCGGACATTCGCTTTTCGTCCTCCCATTTTCGTAAACAATACCCCCGCTACGAGAAGGCAATGAGTAGAATTTCCCTGGCATAGGCTATATACGCGTGGCCATGTAAGAGCGTTTCGAGCGGGAGAACGGACTCTCCCCACTCGCAGCCGTACCAGGGCATTTGGAAACTACTAAAAGCAAGGGAGCACTTCAAAAACTACTTTTTTATTTATTAAACAATGTCAATCATCATTACAACCTATAATAATTGAGATATAGAAAGCGAAAAAAATGTTTTACTTATGTGACTGTTTTAATTCATTCAATTCACGTTGATGTGTTTGATGTGCTTCATTTAATTTATTTGTTAGATCTGTTAATAAATGATCACGTTTCTCTTCAATTTGAACTAATCGTTCACGATTCTGTATTTCAAGGTAATTGATTTCTTCCCTAAGACTAAATTAAAAAAATAAAAGAAAACTCACTTGACGACAATATTTTAAAAAATCAAAGATGAAAATCAAATAGAGAATCGATTTATTCCGCAAGTGAGATCATGGATGCTCCACTGATGAGAAGTCCCACAATAAGACGAAACAGCCATCCAATGCTACCAGCTTTTCAATGGTGCTCTAACATCAATCGGTTTACGATCTCAATTGAAAACTTAATAATCTCCACAACCCTATACCGATAATTACCATGTGCTCACTAGTGATTAGTTAAGTGAAGGAATTATCGGTTTTAGCGAGAAGCCATGACCAGTGGAGCTAATGCATGTCAGGTAGATACAGGTATGTACCCCAGTACAATGGAAGATGGTTGCGCAATTTCGTGGATTGGTTGAGGTTAGATATCAACACCGTTGGATATCGGCCGCCTCAGTAATCTGGTAGGTTAGGCCTTCCTCGCAAGACTGAAGGCCCTGGGTCCGAATCAAGCGGGCGGGATCGTGAATGAGCACTGCTGAGGAGCCCCACAATGGAATGAAATGGTCGTCCATTACTTCCAGGTTTTTAATGGTGGTCCAACGTCGTTCGATTAATAATCTCAATTAAAACCTCATTATTTTAATACTTAGTCATAAATTTTATATAATAGATTAACTTAATAGAGAATCTCAACATTGTGATTTAAACAGGTTATCCAGGTTTTTAATTACTCCCAAACGGGAAGTAAATCTAAATGAGGTAAGAGGTATCCGTTTTGATTGATTATATGTAATAGTAATGGAATAGTTGATTTAGCATTCAACTTTCAATCAGTAGATTACAGATTTAAACTTTCTTACATGTACATTGATACAGATAACAATACAACCCACTACGTTCATATACAAAGAATTCAGCTTAAAACTAACTACATTAATATGTAATTAATAAATTAGTTAAATTATTAGTTTAGAAAGGAAAATGAGGAAAAAAAAACTGTGATAAGCAAAGATGGATGATGGCTAACAATGGAATTCAGGACACGCGTTTCGTCCTATTTGGGACTCGTCAGCTGGATGTACCTAAATCTCAGAATTGATGCTTAAATAAACACGACCGAATTGATAGAGACTATGATTTGAAAATGAAATGAAATAAGAGAACAAAAAGTATGAAATCATATTGAAAATTATGATCAGAAGTGTTAGATCTTGTGACCGCCAATCGGAGAGCAGTGAATTGTCGATCGGACCAAGGACGCGTAAAACACACGCAAGCAGCCTAGAGTTCTGATTGGTCCTGCTTTCCGCCTAGCACAGTCAGTTAAGTCCAGAACACCAATCTCAGCCTATGCAATATGAATCCTTATATTTCAAACATACTGAGTTTATATACCAATCAAACAGACCACAACGTACCATAAAATATGGAACAACATTTGTACAATATTTGGCCAAAAGTGACTGTGGGTGAGGGAGGTAGTAATTAATAGTCAGGACATAATTCAAGAATGGTAAATCGTAGAAACATAGTTCATAGGTCAAAATAAAGCTCATAATAAGAAGGACATGAATATGAACAGTTTAGTTACATAACAATTATACGACAAAAATATACGTTTAGTATTAGTCCACAAACGGATCCTAAAAGTTACCATTCATTATGTTTATCGGGACCTAACAAGAAGGAAGATAAAAAATCATTATATCTGAACTACTACAACTTCGTTTGAAGTATGTCCCATTGATCGTGTTGATTGTGTAGGCATCAGCCAAGTAGTTTGTACCTATTCATATGGCTTAGATAAAGAGTTAATGACTTTTTTGGACTTATGCTATTAGTATGGCAGATTCTAGCTTTCTTTCAACTTACTGCTAGTTTGGTCAATATAAGGCATCACGGTAGGTAGAGTGAACGATAATTTCAGCTTGAGAATAAACAACTCATATAGTACATCTTTACAAATCAATGAGATTATCTGAATGATCAACGAAACGTTTATTGCTAGACAATGGGTAACACATTTAGTCTCGGTTATTCGCTATGGTATTCTTTGAAAATAACTAAACAAATATTGAAGTTTAACCAATAATCATTAGATAACTAACTGAGTCAAGTTATCAGTTTTGGTTGGAAATCTGGAAGCATTTACTTACTGGTTCTCCATGCAATCACTTCTGGGGTTTTAAGCAATACAACGTAAAAAAAGAAAAGAAGATAGCACATTGATCAACAAAGAAATAATGTAAAAAGAAAACTGATTTACCGATTCTCTTTACGTTCTGCACTTTCCTTAATCAAATCTAATTTAGTTCTACAAAAAAGGAAATAATTGAGATTGACAATATCAAAATCATATTATCAATATTGTCAGTAGTATATAACAACAACAGCGACCGATTTATTCATTGTAAAAAAAGGTTAAGCGCTCGTGAGTGAGACTAACAGGTCCTGAGTTCGAATCTCACAAGGTGGGATCGTGGATGTGCACTGCTGAGGAGTCCCATACTAGGACGAAACGGTCGTTTAGTGTTTTCAGGTTTTCCATGGTGGTCTAGCTTTAATTGACTCATAATCTCAACCATTGAAATTACTATCATATCCACAAAAACCCTTCTGATATTGTAAAAAGATTTTAAAAATAGTCGGACCTAGTTTTTGTGCTAGTAGATATTCGTCAATAAGGTTTACCTAGAATCTTAAGCCGATGTTCCTTATAGGATTCAAACCCCGTATCAATCAAATTTATGGACTGCAATGTAATCATCTATTGTTTTCTCAAAGAACAGACAAAGATGAAGGTATATTAATCACTATGGTATTATTTTCTCCCCTAAATTATACACTCACTAACGTCGCGATATGTTGGTGATTAAAGGCATAATATATTAGTTACAATAGATTAAAGATCGGAGGATGTCTCACAATATTAACATAGTTGTAAAAAGATTATCTAAATGTTTGAATAAGTTGTTCTCCATGAGTCAGTGGCTAAGGACGATCTGCTATTGAGAATAAAAACGCCAATAATCTGAACAAGAAGTAGATTGGAATGCATATAATTTAATCAGTACTGATGTTTGAAATAAATCAATCTTAAATTTAATGGAGAAGAGATTTGTAGCAAAGTTAGATGTTTTTCATCACCTACTTCTACTTGAAATAGGCTGTGATGATGATGAGGAGGAGGAGGAGGAATGAAAGCTCTAGGTTTGACCCCTGAATACTTCGTGTGTGTTTACTTCTGATGGACCTCATATTAGAAGTAGACATCTGTCCTGTACCCTTAGGTCTTCAATCGTCATTTCATGATGTGAAGCAACAAAATTGAATGAATTAACGACACAAAAAAAGAGCAAATAAAATGCTCATCATGATTCTTGTTCTACGCGCTAAACTTACTTTAAAGTTTGCTCCATAATTAGTAATTCTTCACGATGTTGTTTTTTAATTAATTCTAATAAATTAATTAAATTATCACGTTCCATTTCAAGACGTTTAATTTGGGCTTCCGACTCCATAGATTCATAATTAGTATTTTTCTATGAGAGAGTGTAAGAGAAAAGGTGATACAGAGAAAGTACTGGTTTTATTTAACAGAAGTCTCCAAATGCCCTGGTACGGCTGAGAGTGGGGAGAGTCCGTTCTCCCGCTCGAAATGCTCTCATGTGGCCACGCGTATATAGCCTATGCCAGGGAAGTTCTACTCACTGCCTTCTCGTGGCACGGGTGTGGTTTACGAAAATGAGAGGACGAAAAGTGAATGTCTGGCACTTTAACCGAATCACAAACCAATGGTGCACATGGGCTCCAGTATCCTGAGGGAACAAATGGCGTATGAACAAATTGTTGGTCACCGGCTTCCATGGGACTGCATCTCCTTACGATGATCCACTGCCTTGTGGATAAGACCTTCAGGTCGAAGGCTCCGGGAGTGGCTCCCTAAGAAAATCACCTGCTTCGGTCTGGGCACCCGGGCAGTATCACAGCACTTATACAAATCAAATGAGATTTGTGTGGCGCATATGTTGTTTGGTGCCTCCTTGTGCCAATATCTATGTGTTAAAATAAATGAATAAATAAATACTTAACAGAAAATTTCCAGAAGTTCTAGTGAGAATCCGTGATTAGTGCAGTTCAACCAAGTCTGTTGTGAGATAGTAACTCACTGAAGACATTGGTGGACGGTGGTGTAATTTCGTGGATTAGTTGAAATTAGACATTAACACCATTGGATGCCGGTTCAGTGATCTAGAGGTTAAGAGCTCGTGAGAAAAACCAAAGGTCCTGGATTTGAATCTCGCAAGTGGGATCGTGAATGCGCACTGTTAAGGCGTTCCATACTAGGATGAAACGGCCATCCAGTGTTTCCAGATTTTCCATAGTGGTCTAGCTTTCACTGACACACGAATTCAACTATTAACTGAAAATTATCATTATGTCAATTACCACTTACATTTATTTATATATTTGTAACATGAAATGTTTAGTACAAAATAATGATAAGGAATGCACTTGATTACTAATAGACAATGACAAGATAGTTTGTTTATGAAGTGGAACTACGGAGTTAAATGTAGATGTATAGTAATCACATTTATTGGTCAGTCAGTCAGTCAGTAACAACGTAGAACTTCGTACGTACGTACATCAGTTCGAGTTGCCACACCACATTAGCATAGAGGTGCAGTGGTCGATTCAAATCCCGTAGTGGTAGAGGTAGCAAGAGTATAAGCAGTAATCGGGAAGATTAGGGTTTGGAGATGTTATTTAAAGAGTATAATCCAGTGAAAGAAATTTGGAAAGAGGGAAAAAGGGACATGAAGAATTCAGAAGATTAGAGTTTGGGAGAACACAGAGAGTGGATGCACCTGCGCCATTGCGAACGATTTTGAGCCATGTCATTCAGGGTCTCTAACCATCGGTTGCTATCATCTCGCGGTCCCCAACCAGGTAGTCTACACCTACCAACATGACTCAGATTCTTACTGTTCCGTTCAGTCGGACAGCGCACAAACGACTGTTTACTGGGATCCACTCTAAGAGAGCTAGTTCTGCCCTAGGACTCAATGCTATACCTACGCCGGCGAGGCCACGGGAAGCAGAATCAGGGCTTCCAGATACACGAAGCGTAAATCGAGTCGGTTCTTTATTTTGGCATGGTGAGGTCAAATGAATGACGCTACTCGGATCCTGTATGCGCGTTTCGGAGACGCAGCACACATCGATGGCGCGAGATTCTAAAGTCCTATCTAAGGAAGCCTGCTGTCCTATTTGGCACAGTGTTCGTACGTTAAAAGCTCCTACGTGTAGTTTAGAGCGTGGTTTCAGGAGACCAGGAATGGCGTTCCACGTACTCGAATCGTTTGCCCTAGCGGTGCGAGGTGATAAAGAGACGTGAGGAGGGTTAGTCGGGAGGATAAGAGAGGTATTAGGAGGTGTAGGAAGGATTTGAATGTGACCACCTTGGTCTCTTGTGCTGTCACGGGTATGAGGGCTGATGTCACTTCCCGGCTGCCCACACCGTGGAAGGGTATTTCTTGATGAACCTGAAAAGGAAATTGGATTAGTGTTGGTCTTGACGACCTGGGAGCGTGACCGCAGAGCCCAAGGGACAACTGCTTGAGGCCGGTCGCGCACGGTCTTTTTGTGGAAGGTTTTTGACGTGTTAGCTCCGTTCTTCAAGGGGCCTTACCGCCGGAGACGGAAATCCGTGAGGTAAGGTGAGGTGTGCATTTTTAGGGTCGACCTTTTCTAACCCCACCCCTCCTTGTGGGAAGGCAGCATCGCTGTCATGCTGGTTGTCCGAGGGAAACACCTTACTGCTGTCACACCTCTCTACAGTCAGCAGTACGACTTCGCCCTCAGACCTTGAGTTGCTGCTTTTAGTCTTACCGTTCGCCAATCGACCTGCCTGGCATGGTAGAACCTGCAGGAACATATGTTCCAGCCAATATAGCTCGGTTGGGTCATCACGATAGGCAAGCCCGACCACCACGTCAAGGTAGCAGCTTCGATCGGGCACATTTATTGGAAATAAAATTGATCCCATAGTAAAATCTACAAGATAGAATAATTCCATAGCTTGAAACTTTACGAGACACTGTTCAAACTACAAATTACAATTGATTAATCACTGGATGGTGATCAATGTCATGTATGTTAGATCCTTCTTAGTGTAGATCGAATCCTATGGATCATTTCTTTGAAGTTTTTATTACATTCATTGTAGAGAAAAAAAAAGAGTAAGATACAATTTCTAAATGAAAGAGATCTTGAACAGTCAGGATCCAATATGAGTTCTATATCATTTATTACTACTTATTCTCTTTCTGTATTCAAAAAAAAAAATTAATACAACTTACTCTATCAAATGATGATAATGAAGAGGATGTTGAACGTGGACGATCAATGTCTAGTTTGTCGAAATCATTTGGTAGTTGAGTGACTAATAATGAAGAACAACATTTTAAAACATAGAAATTAACATTAATTTATTTATGTAAAAGACTATCTAATTAAAATATGTACAGTATTCATAGAATCAACAACCAACTGTGGGAAAGAACAAACCAGATTCCAGCGGAGGAAGAAATCAGGAAGAAGCGCTGGAAGTGGATAGGACACATATTGAGGAAAGCACCCAACTGCGTCACAAGACAAGCCCTCATATGGAATCCTGAAGGCCAATGGACACATTACGCCGGGAAATGGTAACAGACATGAGAAGAATAAACGAAAATTGTATAGAACTAGAAGGGAGGACACAGGACAGAGTGGATTAGAGAATGCTAGTTGGCGGCCTATGTTCTACTAGGAGTAACAGGCGTAAGTTAGCTAGTAATAAGTATATAATCTACTTCACAACGCAAGCTAATTTAATTGTTTAACTTAATATTAATGGACATTGGTGGAATTTCTGTTCACTGACGTCTACTTCAAAAAAAAAGAACTTGATCACATCGTATGATTGTATATTATCTATCGAGTACTATTCTATCATAGTGAACGAGAACATCAATGGGGACAATCGAATGTATTTGAATATAAAAATTACAGAACATCTTAGTAAAATCTGAGAACCATACAATATACACTTCTTTCACAAAATGTCAATCAATCATCTCAGATTTGATTGTTCCTTCATTTCCACACAGACACACGGACAACCTCAAGTGGTGTCCGTCAAGGCTGTCCACTTTCTCCATTTTTGTTTAACTTCATCATAGACCTATTGGTAGAAATAACATTCTCGTCGACTGAATTCTCGGGTATTGATCCCCTACCAGGAGGTCCACTTATCAACTTAGAATACGCAGATGACATAGTCCTGTTTGGTGAAGACGCTGACAAAATGCAGAGTCTTTTGGTAGCACTGAGCAACAATGCCAGAATGTTTGGAATGCGCTTCTCTCCCTCGAAATGCAAGTTGTTGCTTCAGGACTGGCCTGCGTCAACACCTGAACTAAGGATAGGGAGTGAAGTAGTCGAACGCGTCGATAACTTCACTTATCTTGGAAGTCTGAACAGCTCTAAAGGGTTGGTGTCTGACGAAATCTCAGCACGGATTCGAAAAGCTCGTTTGGCTTTTGCCAACTTACGTCACCTATGGCGAAGGCGAGATATCCGTCTATCAATAAAAGGACGAGTATACTGCGCGGCAGTCCATTCCGTTTTACTTTACGGCAGCGAAACATAGCCATTAAAAGTAGAAGATATTCGTAAGCTACTAGTATTTGACCACATATGCCTTAGAAATATTACTGGCGTCTGCTGGGATCACCGGGTAAGTAATAGTCAGGTTACACGCAGGGTATTATGGAATGATGGTAAATCAGTTGATGAGGTTGTTAATCTTCATCGACTGAGATGGTTGGGCCACGTGTTACGTATGCCTGAACACCGATTATCACGACGTGCAATGGTAACCGGTGTTCGGAATGTTTGGAAGAAAGTTAGGGGTGGCCAAACCAAAACGTTGCATCAGTACTTGAAGTCACTACTAGTCTGAGCCATGTTGGTAGATGCAGACTACTTGGTTGGGGTCCGCGTGACTATCGTAATCAATGGTTGGAGACTCTGTGTGACATGGTTCAGAATCGATCACAATGGCATCGGTGTATACACTCCCTGTCTTCCCTTTAACTAAGAGATTAAAATCACTTCATATCTTTCTTTCTATGAACTAATTCTTTCTTCCTATACTATATCCTTATATGCAATCTTTCTCCCATATATTACCACCTTTGACCTAACCACTCCTATGAATCCGGTGTCCATCTTGCTGCGTTAATGAGGTATGGCAACCTAGACCGATGCACATATGTGCCTGGTCCTTTGTTGTAGCTGACTGACTGACTGACTGACTCATTTCTATACCATTCTTTGTTCTCGTTCTCATTTTCGTTAATCTTCTTAACCTTCTGCCATCAGGTGTTTCACTTCCGATTGATGCTACACACTACTTATATCTGTCAACATCAGTAGTACATTTATCATACTATTTATTCATTTTAACAATCATAAACCACATTCGTTGAATAAACTCTAATTCATAATATTTCTCTTACTTGAAATTGGATGAATTGATTCTATTGATGAAGGACGACGTGTATGAGATCGAGTAGTTTTCATTGATTTTGAATTGTCAATTAATTTATCATCGGATAAAAGATTAAGAATTTGATTTGAAGAGCTTTAAAACAAAGTACAAACAGAGTAAAATGAATAGAAGAAAGTAGTGTTTTTTTTCAATTACATTTATATAATGATACAAACTCTCCTCCTTTATCCGAGTTTGGAACCGGCAGTAACCCTAGAGGGATTACAGGCTTATCATATATTTTGTAGATTGAATGATACACATTTCATCCTATTCAAGACCCATTATCTAAGTATAAACTTACATTATGACTCAAATTCACTAACCATTCCATAACTAGCTATGATACCCAAAATACAATAAATCTGTAACTAGCGGAGGCATCTAGACAGGAAATCACAGACTGCTATAAAGAATGATATAAATAAATTACGATGTGTTTATTATGATTGTGTTTGATTGGCCAAAGAAAAGTTGACTTTAAGTTATCTAGGACATTTTGTTAAAGTTATCCTTTGTTTGGGTTTTGTACCAGACGGTACACACCAGGGAGCACCAGTTCCCTAAAGATTACATGTATACCTTGCTGACGAGTGCCAAGTAGCACGAAACCCGGGTCCAGGGTTTCTTGTCGACTACCTCCAACCACCATCTAAATCTCAATATATAGTGCCCACAGTGTCGAGTCACCTAGACTGGTGGCCACATTGCAACATGATCGATAGCATTCGATCAGCACTATAATAAGGACTAGACACGCATGACATTGATCACCACCCAGTGATCAATCAATTGTGGGTACACGTTATCAAAGCATATCTAAAATTTTGAAGAACTTGTGTCACTCCACATATAACTCTGAGACGATGTTAAATCATTTAGATTAATGGCTACATTGCAAGTTGATTGATGGAATTCTATCACCACTAAAGGCATGATACTAGTTATTATTACTAAGTTATCAGTCAGTTGACACACTTGCTTTATTCCTAGCTATCGCACAAGACTATTGAAATAAAATCCAACTCTTAGAGCTAAAATTGTTAGAACAGAATGGGAAGTTGCAAGTAAATCATTGAAAGTTTAGTGTTTATACCAAATTTAAAATGTTATATACATGTGCATTCACCTCTTTACCATTTGCAAGTATAGATCAACAGCATTCATATTACACGACACGAGATTAGTCTACGGTATCATTGACCATTGATTTAAATTGTGTAGAAACGGTACAGACATTTCAACTTTTATCTGAAATATAATCGCACTCTCTGATGGAAGAAAATAGGTAACATGATTACAAAGTTGATCTAAGTGAAAAGGACTTATTTATTTGTAGATGGTTTTTATTAAGGTAAAATATCATTTGGAGGACAATTGATAACTATGACTACTGAATAACTGTTACATCATAGCATGAAATGTCCCTCTCTCTATCTGAGTGCATCCATGACCTGTGTGAGATTAAACTAAGGACACTCAATGTTTCACTGTGAACTCATAGAATGTTTTCATTGATATTTCAAATGCTGAAAATCTGTAACTGAAAATGCGTATAAATTAGGTAAGTGTCTAAAAACAATCCTCAACTAGGATGTATTTATCCTTTACCTTTCTAATGGTTAAGCGCTCGCGCGCGAGACTGATAGGCTTAGGGTTTCGAATCTCGCGAGGCCAGACGATGGATGGGCACTGTTGTGGAGTTCCACAACAGGACGAAATGGCCATCCAGTGCTTCCAGGTCTTCTATGGTGGTCTAGCTTCAATTGACCCATGAATTTAACTATTAAATTACTAATATAAATAAATTGTTTTTGACCTAGTTAATTTTCTCTTATATTTCCACTTCTGTAAAATAGTAGTGCCTAAATGATTTGGAGTGATACCTCATATGTTTGAGTCTAAATATGAACGTCAACATAAAGATTCAAGCATATCTTACTGACAAGTTTTAAATGGAAAGAAACATAGATCCTGAATTTCACTGACAAACACAATTCACATATATTGAGATCAACTGATCTGTTTAAAATATAATCATTCAATGGAATAAGTAGCTAACCTTTTATTATTATTATTATTATCATTATCAAGTAGGTTTTTAAATGTGAATTTTCCACATTCTGATGGCGTTGGAGCTGTTTGAGGTCTAATTGAACTAGAGTTGTTATTATTGCCTAACGTTTTAGTCGTTTGTATGTCTAAATCGAATTGATCCTATAGTAATTGTAAATAATAGCAAGCAAAGAAAAACAGTAAGGCACAAACTCGTTAATAATTGGGTAAAATGGTTAGTCATTTCAAGTTGATCATATTTTTTCGGAATATTGAGTAGCAGTAGAATGTAGGTTGTGTAGTTTATTTTATTGAGAAGTCATCAACTATCAATATTTACCATAAAACGGGGATCAAGTACTCATAGATCCTAAAACGCATTAAAGTGATAGGTTTTGTTAATGATACGGTTTGTAAGTCCATTCTAATGACTTGTACTTTTCTGTTTTTGTAATGCTTAACTACTTTAAAGTAAGTATATTCAGTTTTTCAGTTCTGAATAGGAGAAAAACATGGACTACGAATCCTTATATATATACATAAAGATTGGTACAATAAGGCATCAAATAGATATACACCACACAAGTCGCTTGATTTGTGTGTGGGCTGTGATACTGTCCGGGTGCCAAGACCGAAACAGGTGGTTTTTTTAGAGGGCCACATCCCAAACCTTTGATCTAAAGGTCTAATCTGCAAGGCAGTGAAGCAACGTAAGGATGTAGTGTCTGTTATTATGTTAAGCCCATATACCTTATTCTAGCTTTCGGACAGGCCAATCTACTCATCCAACTCGAGTCACATTCTGACCTTGTTATTTATTCGCTTATCAATCTTGACTGTTTTTATATGAGCGCGTAGGTGTGTGTACACTTCTAGTCCCGTTACTCATCACATGTCTGTAACTTATTTTTGTGTAACTATAAATATTGATTAACGCTTGGTTAAAGGGGAGTTGGCTAACCCGCCATCTCCACTGCACGTCGTTTCGCTTCTCTATATTCTATTCGCTGCATATAGAAAATATATGTATTCAAAAGTCCATTCTCGTTGTTTGAATTATTTAATTCCGTTACTGACTAACGCGATTTAAGTCGATGATTATATACAAGGATAGACGATAACAAACATTAATATGGTCTGATCGGAGTCAGATTAACGGGCCACTGAAGTGGAGAGCCCTTCCGACAACATCGATCTAAATGACGACAAAATATCAGGCCCCACAAGGAGATTCAGTCTTATGGTAACCAGCGATCAACAACAGGTTTATACGCCATTTGTTTCCTTAGGATCCTGGAGCCCATGTGTGGCAGTGGTTTGAAACCAGGGTTTTCCAACTCCCCTGGAAACAGCTCTGATGAATGTAAGTAATGGTGGTGTGGATCTGTTGCCTGGAGAAAGACTTCTCGACCTTGAGTATGCGGACGATATTGTCTTACTGTGCGATAATCCCCAAGCCATGCAATCCTCACTTAATCAGTTGGCAATCAATGTCCGTAGGTACGGTATGTGCTTTGCACCTTCGAAGTGCAAAGTACTTCTACAAGACTGGCAGGATTCTAATCCTGTACTGACCCTGGATGGTGAGCAGATAGACGTAGTTGAGAAGTTCGTGTATCTAGGTAGCTGCATAAGTGCTGGTGGGGTTGTGAGTGATGAGATCAATGCACGAATAGTGAATGCCAGAGCGGCTTATGCCAATCTGGGCCATCTATGGCGCCTTCGTGATGTTAGTCTGGCCGTAAAAGGTCGGATCTACAACGCGTCGGTGAGAGCAGTTTTGCTCTATGCTTGTGAAACCTGGCCTCTCCGAGTTGAGGACGTTAGACGACTCTCTGTGTTCGACCATCGTCGTTGTCTCCGAAGAATTGCTGACATCCAGTGGCAACACCATGTCAGTAATGCAGAGGTTCGGCATCGTGTGTTCGGGCACAGAGATGATAATTCAATTGGTGTCACCATCTCGAAACACCGACTTCGGTGGCTTGGACATGTTCTACGAATGTCGTCCCAGAGAATTCCACGTCGTGCATTATTTGCCGACTCTGGGACTGGTTGGAAAAAGCGGAGAGGTGGTCAGTGCATGACATGGTGTCGTGGCATGAAAGAAAGCTGCAAAGGACTGGCTTGTGTTGGTCCTTCACGACTCCCTGGCTGGGGTCCGAGAGATGGTGCTACACAGTGGCTAGAGACGTTATCAGATATGGCTCAGAATAAAAGCCAGTTGCGATCCTGCTGTAACCTTCTTTTACTTTCTCCATAAAAAGTGGTTGTGTCTCCTTTACCTGAAAGATTTCTTCTGATTGTACCTTTTCGTTCCGTCGTTACTACCACACTACCTTGCTCCAATCTCTTCGTCATTGTTCTCTTTTTCTTTTGCGCTCCTTAGTTTTTTTTTCTTTCTACTTCTCTTCGAATTCTTATTGTTTTGTGTGGCGCATATATATTGGCGCTCTCTTGTACCAATATTTATGTGTTCAAATAAATAAATAATAAATATGTGAATTTTCCATATCCACCAACCCGGGTAAACCGCCAGGCATTTACTTTTTGTCCTCTCAATTTCGTAAACAATACCTCTTCCAAGGGAAGGCAGTAAGTATGACTTCCCTGGCGGTAGCTGTATGCATATGGCAATGTGAGAGCATTTCGAGAGAGAGAGAGAGAAAAACTGACTCTCCTGACCCTTGGCCATGCCAGGGCATTTGGTGGCACGAGTCCCACTGTAAGTTCAAAGTATAATCACTATGTAAGTATGGATAATATTGAGTTGTCAGCTCGCAAATAATGTGTTAAAATTGTTACAAGGCAAGGAAACTTTAAGGACTGTGTTGGTTGGTACTAATTGTTTAAACTGGTGTAATTCATATGGTCAAGTGAGAATCTCCAATGGAAAATGAATTATTTAGTATAGCCCCTCCTTCATGAATAAATATCTATAAAAAGAACAGCTGGTCAAAAAAGCAAGTTTTTGTCTCTATCGAATTAACACATTTATTAATAAAAATAGTTAATATATAAATAAACACAGCTGAAATTCGCTTTAGACGTAAATAATTTCAGAAAAACGCACAGTTATTAATTAACTTGTGAAACTAAGACTTAATTACCGGGCTTATTTTTAACACTCTATATCAGACTTCAACTAAACAATGGGAAAGTATAAATTCCTACAACATTACTTCTACGATATTATGGAGAAAGGCGGAAAGCAGTATTAATATGACCTTTAGATTTCGAGGGTATCTTTTATTGAATGAACAGAAGTCTGTGTAAATCAAGAGCGTCTTTCATAAGAAATAATTAAATCTGTCAAAGTATAGTATTTTAAGAATCGTTGTTAATTCCCTATGTTTGATTATGAGGTTTACAATATTATTATTATAGAAAGACGCACACCAACCTCACTAACATGAGTGCTGACATATTCACACTGAAGGCTTCTTCGTGAATCTTTGCTGCAGCCACAGGCATTTTAGGGAAAATTCATTATCTTCTACAAAATCCTAACTAACAAGTTAACTTAAGAGTTAGGAAGATGAAGTTACAAGACAACGAATCAAGAAAGTAATGCATGAAAATTAATACCCATTTTAGTATACCCGTGGACGTGGACTAAATTCATCAATTTTTATTAACAGATAAGGCCATATGATGGATAAATTTACAATATTCATAGTTGAGTATTGAATATGAACTTTGATAATCATGGGAAGTGGAGTTCAAGACCAACAATGTATCTTAGTCTGGACTTGTTGGTTGGGAGTCCCTGGTTCCTAGCATTTAGCCGTTTGCCTTATTCCATCTTTGTTCTCATAGACCGTCCAGTTTGTCTATATTCATCATAAATTTAATGTTAAGATTTGATTCTGAAATTATTGAGAAAGTGTACACACACCATCATAAGCGACAAAAAATTTCATCGAATTACAAAGTTTGCTCTTTAGGTAATTGTGTTTGATAGAGACAAAGTCTTATGTCAAATAGTACGTAACCCAGAGCTGAAACCATAGCTACTTTAGCATTCAATTAGTTGAGTTGGTTTTCAAACTCTGACATGGTATGTTTCTCACTAAAAACCGTAATTTCAATTTGCGGATGATTATTAACAAGTCAATCTAAATGACTGACGAATGTAATTTAGTCACATAATTTTAAATGAGATATTCATATTTTTTTCGTTAACAGGAGACTAAGAAAAACTTTCACGGTGTAAAATATTGAGTTTTTTCATATAAGTATGAATCTCTATACTTACCAGCAAACTAGCTAGTGAAGTGATAAATTTATTAATCGAACAAAACATACGAAAAGTACATTCAATTAGTTAATTTTAAACTGTTTAGATGAGAATGTTTAACCTAGAAATATAGGTATTTTGTGATAGCTTAGCATAAAACGACTCAGCTTCTTTTTGTTTGTAGGTTGCAAAACATAGAATTCTAAAGATTACTGTTGAAATCTCATGAAAGAGTGTTTGACTAAGAACCGCAGATGAGGTTGGTTAGCGATATTTTGAGTTGAAATCAGTTAAGCGGATAAAATCGGTGTAGTATTTCTCGTGATGAGAGAACAGCTTGTATGTAAAGGTGAGGATGATCCTATCAAGGTTAAGACAGTTTTGTGCTGTCAAATCTACCGTCATAGTTTGACCAACTTTAGAATTTCTATCGAACTTTAATACTATCAATTCGAGAAGTCTTTGTAAATAGTTTGTTTGTTGACTAGACCAATGATGAAACCACGAAGTATGCTAATCTCAAGCAAATAAAGAAGTGCATATTTCAGGAAGGTACAATGTAAGATACATTTGGCATTCTTTCCATATTACTCGTACTATCCCAAACTTCAACGTTGTTTTAAGGTGATAAACATAACATCCTTGTCGGTAAAATTTCTGTAAATCAAGTCACCAACTACTGAAATTTGTTTGTGAAATAAGTGATATCAGAGCACTCTGTTGATAATTTGAGAGCTAGTCAGATGAGTACCAGCAAATAATAATGACCCATTTATCTTCATATTTGAGTATAGTACTGTTTAAAAAAAAACACGTTGTGAATAAATCCTTCGTATTAAGCGAAAAGAACACGAAGTTAACAAACTTACAAAACCAGATGAGTCACCAAACTGCCTATCACCAGATACCTCCTGGTGTTCTTTTCCAACGTCGTCCAAAAATCGAACTGTTCTTTTAGGAGTCGATGAATTAGGACGTCGTTTGGATTCATCTACAAATTCAGGATCTAATTTATAAGCAGGTTTTTCTGTCTTTGCAAAAATAGGATCTGAAACTATAACAGGTCAAGGTGGTGATTAAAAATACCATCGAATGGGTCTATAAGGGCATCAAGAATGGTTTTTGAGGATTTTGTTTGGCTTTTAGTCTTTTCGGTGTGTCTTCCGAATTCTAGGCTGGAATTGGGATCACCATTCTGTTTTACAACTAATTAAGCAATTAGACATAGCCCTAAAAATTTTACCTGTCTTTCGAACTTTTAAGTCGTCTTTCTGATTAAGTGAATTTAGTAGATCATCGAGATCATCTGAATACGAACTAAGAAACTTTATAAATATAAACCTACTGTCTTCATGTACAATTCCATTATAATTGAACTACGTTGATGAATAATCATAATATAAAAAGACCTACTGGAGTATTTTCGTCTTCTATTTCTTTTGCTAGATCACTATAAAATGTTGACATATGTCTTATGGCAACGATGGGATAAACAAAACCATATTGTGCGCTTTAAAAAAGCACCAGCCTTCAGTATTATACGAAATTTCTATAGAATATAACAAATTTGAGACTTGATTATTATATTCAAAAAAAAATCGTTAGAACAACTAATTTGTGAGCGTAAAAACAGTTTTGTAGACTTTAGGAATTCTTAATTCACGTGTAGTCACAAAGCATCAAAATTTTAGTAACATTGTCAAGAAGATCGATAAAGTAACAGTTCCAAGTTATCACACTCCCTACTAAACACAGCTAGAAAATGATATACGATTCGTTAAAAAGTGGAGTGATAAAAGAAGTTGAAGAAGTTTCTACTATAGCGGCAAATAAATCCCTAAAATAAATAGCTTTGTAAGTTTTCGACATTGGATGCTGACCACATTAGTTTTAATGGACTCACCTAGCTGAAGGCGCTCGGTCATGCATCCGCATCAGATCACGAGTAGGAACGCCGTGCTCAACATCTACTGTAATCGCTAGCCAGATTAGATCAGACAATCCCCGATATATTGATAGCTTATCAAATATATCTTTGAACCTCCTCGCTTCTGACTTTTCATTTAACTTGGTGGGTACGATTCATATTAGGTGTTACTGGTGTCACTGTCAAACTCCAAATACCTGTGGCATCATCACTAATATCAACTGATGCTGCTAACACAGCTAAGGCAACGGAAGAGGCTTATTAACTTAGTAAAAGCTGTTGATGTGACATATAAAGAAACAACTGAAATATAAACCACACCTTGTCATCTGCAACATAGTGCGGAGTTTTATAGCTGCGTTGATAATCCTTCAGGTGCTTTGATGAGGACATTGTAAGACCAGTGGAATGTCCCTAGCCAAACCATCCAGCAGTCATGTCACTGAGTATCGCACAACTTACGAACCTCGAAGGTGTCAAGGACAACCATCTTGCATCAATCGATTGCACTCCATGGACTGACTCACGATTCAGTGGTCTCATTCTGTTCTCGTATCTACTCTTGCTCCATTAAGCCCCAAATCATCAACACAGACCACCAATGTTGGCGATCTACAAAGATCTCCTTTTAAGTTAGTGTCTTTAAGACTGTCACTTCTGATGTCACCGTTAGTTCCGTTATTATGGATGGTATAGTACTTACCTTCGTGATGTAGAACTTTGAAGGATCCTTCGTATGCAGTTTAGCCGGGTAAACGTGATGGATTGCGGCGTACAAAAATGATTATCAGGTCGTAAGGCGGGTTGGAAGAAAATACCAGTTGACTGCTCTCCAGTGGAAACAGGCTTAACTATACGCATGGAGTTTGTAAGCTGTCTAGTTTAGAAATATAGATCCATATCCAGTGAATGAAATAAGGAACTCTTTGGACGATCCCTTCGTGTGGATGTGTCACATAGCAAAGTTTCCTTACCTGTTCTATCTGTTAAATTTAGTTTAAAGTTTGTGAGAGCTAACTCGTGCTGAGGTTCAGCGTCCCCTTTTTTAAGCTCAGCGGGTTCGAGAGAACTGACTCCTTGCAAAATGATCAAGGAAGTCATATGAAAAAATGTCTGCTACTAAATTGTTCGCGCCAGAAATGTGCTGTAGATCGGATAAAAGCTGAGAAACGTAGTTTAGTCGTCGAATCTCGCGAGGGGGTGCTAGTCTGAAGACATCCTGTTCCTCATGGTCTAAAGATATATCTTTTTCGTGATATACATTTTTGGGGGGTTTATAGCGTCTACGATTATAATGGATTTGAATATAAAGAGTGGGATTATTACAAAGGTTTGCAATGTCATACCGTATGGCATGGTGCTCTTCATTCACAGAATAAACGTCAGCGCTTGATGTTCTAGCGATCTCCCTTATCCGGTTGGCAGACACAGTCATTTCGTTAACGGTGCTGTTTTGAAATGTGACATGAACCGCTTGCACCTTTTGGCGAACCTTAGACAAGAAGATATAGGCCCTCGTCAAAAGTTTAACCTTCCACATATGTAGCAAAATTTTGTTGCTGAGCTGTGTTACAACTTCATGTTTCGGACGAGCTGGTCCAACTTCTGTTGATCGATTTAATCTCTCTGTTTAAGGATACCCTGTTTTTAAGGTATCGCGGGGATGGGAAACCTCACTAGTAAACATAATTGGTGTAAAGTATTTTCTACAGTCACGCCGTTGTGTCTTTATCATTGCTCGGAATTGCCCACGTGGATTTAGCACGCCGTATTTACGCGTGTCAGCATCTGCGTAGCGGAACCAGGCTTCGGTCTTATCAGGCTGGAATTGTGTGAGTTGAAAAGTCGGGGCATAAGAGTTTCAACTTTCAACAGTTTGTGTGTCTGTTCCACCATAATGGGCGTGAAATATATAAATGGTCCGAAAAAAACAGGAATAAAAAAGTAACATGATAAGTAAGAGTTAAAAATGACATGTAATGGTACAACAAAGAATATTTTCAACTTTTCATTTGTTGAGCCGGACAACACAGAGCTCATAACCAAAGGCGCCACAGATATTCAGGATTTGACAACGCTTTTGTCTGTAACGCCTTTATAATCGAAGGAAACCAATCCAGCCAAGTCAGAAGTGAGATATGTAGGAGTTTGAAGACATATTTCGAAAGTTGTTGATATACCGAGAAGCGTTTGATCTAAGATGGCTGGGAATGCGTGACCGAGTGCCTTCAGCCATGGTGAGTACTGCAAAACTAATGAAGTCAGTATCGTTGTCGAAGACTCAGAGAACTTTTTATTTTGGCATTTATCTTCCCCTATAAGCTATTCTGTAAGGTATAAATACATATATACCTATTTACCAAACGGCCAGTTTCTCGTACCTTAATATCCTTCTGACTAAAAGCTTCCATTTTGTAATGTATGTTACAGACATGTTGGATTTGAAGTGCTTATATTTGCTCCACTTCATATAAGGGATCAGAATAATTTATGGTCGTTGTGTGGCTTATTATACACTACGAGGAGCTGGGGAAGCGAGAGGCAGGCACGTGAATCAAATAAAAATTTCATAATGCAATATTAAAAATCAAGTATCTTCACCAAGCAAGGAAGTGAATGCCTATTTTATCTAAAATATTTCGGTCTTAATAAGGGGTTGTCGAGTCATTCATAATCACCTAGCTTCGTATGCTAAATCAACCTCCTCTTAAAATCACTGATTTTGGAAATATTATTGAAACCGATGTGTATGACTGCATACGTGATAAAACCCAGGATGGATTTATTACAACTTTATGTATGAATAAGTATCGTCCATTCATGTGCCGATCACTCAACAGGAATAAATGAGGCCCTACAAACTCATGAGTATCCCTTGCGCTTACCTGATGATCTTTTTGATACCTCTGGTTTATAATCAACAGTAAGTGTTCAGTTTGTAGTGTGACGTCGAGTCGCCGTTGACTATGGTCACCACTACAGTAAGGCTGTTACAGGAGAACTGTAGACATTTGGCTGATTATAACCTTTTTATTGTATATTGATAATATTACTGTGTTTTTGGATGCATTTGTTTTACGTAACTTTTGAACTTGTTTGTTTATATCATTGTTTTCGATCATTCCGGTTTCTCTTTGTTATTAGTTTGATATTTGGGATTTTTTGCTCCGGGAACCTACAAAATTGAAGAACGACATTTGGGCCGACTATTTTTAAATTGCGAATAAACTTTGGTACCTAATTTGGAGTTTGGTTCGTAATCTGCAAATTGATCGACATGCCGTACTTCAATAACGGGAACGAGCAAACACTTAGACGTGACAAAGACTAGGTGCCAGTTAATCGATAAGTACCCCCGTAAGTCAAATATCAGAAGGCAGTTGATGGCTGTAGTCGAGATGTATTTTGTTGGCAATCTCGTGGTATCGAAATAATACCGAGATCGTGCCAAAGGATTGCAAGTGGAATTACTGAGCAAACGTAAGTTCGTGCAAGGCCACAATTAACAGAAGAATGAATGTGCTTTGGTACAGTTAAGCTAACAAGTACGGTAGAACAATCAGTGGTACAATTGATAGTAATAATAATTGTTTCCATTACGTTAATCGTGTTCTCTTGATAAAAGTAGGTCACTACAAGTTAAACATCTAGTCTTCCTACTCAAGAATATTTTCAGTACGATATAGTGATTTTGTTACTGTTCAGCATAACTTTAATAGCAACAGAAGTCCTGTTTTCATTGAAGTAAATTTGACTGAAATGGCGATGTATATAATATAAGATTGTGAAGTCTTTCTAAACGATTAATGCATGAGTATGATCGAACTTCTTTGAAACATACAATCACTAGACCAAGTCTTGGGTAAATCCAGAAGAATTGAACTGATATATCTGAGAGCCACGAGTCTGGCTAGACACCGTATCTCAAGACGGGTGTGCAGGTGCTTGAATAAGATTAAACATCAATTTCTGTCCATCATTTTAAATAGCTTGATCTCTGATCTATTCAAAACTGTTTCCGATACATGCCAAAAACCCATTCTAAATGATCTCTACAAATGTTCTTCATGCTGTGAAATTAATTTCTCGAGGCGACGGAACTGTTTTTTTCATTATTTCAAAAGAATTAATGTTTACGTAGTTGGATTTTGCCGCTGTTTAACTTTGGTGTGTACAGTGTGCCCCGATGCCTTAGATGTCTCTTGAAAAATTCCTAAGATACATATGTCGCTCTTTTTTTAGGTGTGTTGCCTACGATTTATTTCATCCCTGGAGGTCGGCAATGTAAATACAGTTCGTAGTAATGGTAGTGCACTTATCTTAAGTAGTCTATCACGATAACTTTTTCTATTGTTAAGTAACATTCTATCCCTTTAAATTCTATAAAAGCTAGTCAATAACCATATTTTTACGTTATCACTCCTCTCATTTCATTTTTTCATGTCCAACAAATTCCAAGTTATTGAGAATTGAAAAAGCTTTACGCGCATGTGTTGTTCGTGTGCGGCACATGCTAGTGATCAAGCGGTGAGAAAGACGATCAACCTGTCACATGTGAGTTCATTTCTTTCTTAAGTCCTAGAAAGCAAGGACTGTATTGAAAACGTATTATATATGGTGTCGGCGTGAAATTAGTGCCGATTTTCTAGGAAAATCCTGTCTTATCATAAATGATGGTATACTCAGTCTCTCTATTTTGGGAAGAGTTCTGCACGTTTCAGGTAAATTTTGGACAAGCCGCAATTGAAAGCCTATGGTAAATAGCGCAAATGCTACAGAAGCTCTCCAGCTCTAGGGAGAATCTCCAAAGTTTTCGGGAAATTTGCAAAATGTTTGATGAAATTTAGGGGTTTTCACAATAATTCCCCAGAATCTTATAACACTGGGGTTTTGCCCCAAACTTTGGAGAAAACTACCAAATTCCTTACAACTTTGAGGTGAACCACAGAGTAGTGTGGTTGAGTCTGAACAAAGATCTGTCATCATGATTTCTGAGTAAATTTCGAAGCGAATTCGTCAATGTGTGACGAAGTATCACCTCAGGTTCATAAACCACTCTTGTCGAACATAAACTCTTCCGGGCTCATATGTTCAGTTGGTCATCATGTGCTTATCCCGAATTAAATATCTGTATGCATCTTTATTTTTTACCTACTTACTACCTTCAGGAGGTTGTTTAGCGAGACTCTAATTTAGGGACGAACTCTGAACGAATCTTAAATGACCTCTGAAAATATCCCTTTCGCGTTGATCGGTCATAGATTCCAAGTACCTGTCAAGTATATTTACGGAAATGCTACTTACCCATTCTTCCTTGATACTACGTCCTCTATTGTATTTTCGCTTTCTTACTACCGTTTCATCTATCTCCACAATGCATCCTACTCCTCCGAATGATTGGCGTCACGTGTCATTTTACTTGCACATATGTCACGGCAGTACTCATACCACTGGACTGCTGAAGTTTCAGTAACATCTGCAAACGCCGCAGCCACTGTCACTGGTGTCTTGATTACCCAATTTGCTACTATTATCATGATCTGCCTTAGTGTTAGTCGCGACCGAGCGAAGAAAGTCCCCGTTCGAGCATACTTTTTCCTCCAACATGAAGAACAACGAAACAATCTCACCACGGTGGTCTGCACACTTTGCTGCAGTCATTTGATAACCGCAGTCGCAAGTACAAGAACTTATTAATAGTCTCATCTGTTGTAGCCTCTTAATAATCACCTCTTCTCTAAAATCCGCTGTAAACCGATCGTATGTTAGCATCACGTGTTGAACTTGGCTCCATGACCTTGAATTTGCTCAAACACTGATTGGTTCGTCCTTAAATTAGAGTCGCCGGTTGTTTAGTGTCGTAAAGAAAGTGAAGATTTCCTCGAAGCCAACTTTCCAACGCGTGACTTTCTATGTTGTCTGATGTTCTCCTAATTCCTAAAAGTCTTCAGATTATAATAACTTGCGGTTTTTATCAGTATTCAGTTTACGTATTTAGAACCGTTATTGTTCATTCACGTATAACTTATGAAGTATGTTTTTGATTCAGTTTATCGAGGTTTTTAATAGAGCTGAAAATCAACTTATTTACTGGAAGTAAATTCTCAGCAAACTAGTATTTATAAGTTATTAGTTCGATTTTATTGTGTATGGGAATCAATGTAGATGCAACCTCTAATATATGGTAAATCCGTATCAATTGCCCTAGGTAGTTATAATAGTTCTAGATGCATTTAAACCGATTTAACTAGTTTTTCATGTCCTATCAGTTGACCATCTATTTATTTACTTATTTAAACACATAAACATTAGTACAAGGAGACATCAAATACATGTGCGCCACATAAATCACTCGATATATGTGAGGGCTGGGATACTGCCATGGTGCCCAAAACAGGTGGTTTTCTTAGAGGGCCCCACATCACAAACCTTTGACCTAATGATCTAATCTACAGGGCGTTGGAGCGACGTTAGGAGATGCAGTCCCGTAGTAGCCAGTGACCAACAATTGGTTCATACACTTTTTGTTCCTTTAGGATTCTGGAGTCCATATGTATTCTTAATAAGGTAAAGTAGCCAAGGAAGTTAAACCTGCCACCCTCATATTAGTAGGATAAAAAACAGTTTGACACTTTAGTTGTATTTTCCAAATGGTTACTCGTTTTTTAAGGTGAGATGGGCTCAAACCGAGCAGCTAGCATCTTCCAGCAGAGCTTGGATTCATAGTCAACGATCTCATGAACTGATGTCACGCCTTGGTTTAGTCTCACCTAGACTTACTATTAGACCAGCCAACGCTACTTGTCGAGATAGGGGCTGGTAGAATATATGTCCTGACCACCTCAATCAATAAAGATACATAACTTTAACCGATTCAAGGTATTCGGTTGGTACGCTGTCCCTAACTTGAGGATTATTCACTCAGTCGCTTCGTGATGCTAGAGGAGTGCTTTAGAGATACGTGTAATCAATAACTTGCAGCTTATACAAGTCCTCTACTTTCATGGAGTAACGCAGAGAGGATCGCTGCTCAGCTGACTCGCTCTTTAGTCAGAAAACGGGAATCTCACCTTCCCTGCTAGATACCGAAGGGTAATAGAACACTAAATCCATGACGCCAACTCACCGGGACTGATATAACTTCCTTGCATTTGACTATAAGGTGACAATCTAGTCCCATTCAGTCTTCCATCTATACACCATCGTCATTCAGTCAGTCATAACCTAGAACTTGGTACGTATGTATATCACTTCAATCTACCATACCCCATTAGCACAAAGATTAAATTGTTAAACCAAATCTCAGAATAGTAGAGGTAATACTGGTATGGGTAGCGATTGAAAGGATTAGGAATCGAAGATACAATTCAAGAAAATGTAAGTTAGTGCAATAAAAACAAAATAGTTGTAAGGGATTCAGAAGCTTAATACTTGGAGAAAGACGAAAAATAAATTAACATGCGTCCTGACAAACGATTTTGAGCCATAGCATCCAAAGTTTAACCATTGGTTACGATAATCACGTGAACTCCAGCAAGGTAGTTTACACTTGTTAACATAGCTCAGTCCAGTTACCAATGTCTTCATGAACTGATGTCATGTCTTGGTTTGGTCGCCCCCCCTAGCTTTCTCTCTGACTACTTCTACATCAGCCCCCAAATGCCCTGATATGGCCGAGAGTGGGGTGGGCCCACCCTCCCTCGAATGCTCTCACACGTCCACGCGTATACAGCCTCTGCCAGGGAAGTCCTACTCACTGTGTTCTCGTGCAGAGGGTGTAGTTTACGAAATTGAGAGGACGAAAAGCGAATGTCCGGCGCTTTAACCGGATCCCAAACCAATGGTGCACACGGGTTCCAGTATCCTGAAGGAACAAATGGCGTATAAACCTGCTGTTGATCACTAGTTACCATGAGACTGCATCTCCTTACGTTGATTCACTGTCCTACGGGTTGAACCTTTAGGTCAAAGGCTCGGGGTGTGGCCCCCTAATAAAACCACCTGCTTTGATCTGGGCACCCGGACAGTATCACAGCCCATACACAAATAAAGTGTGGCAAATATATATTTGGTGCCCTCTTGTACCAATATTTATGTGTTCAAATAAATAAATAATAAAAACTCGTCAAGGTGGGCTGTGAGAGGGCATACGTAACACATCCCAACCACCTCAGTTGATGAGAATTTACCACCCTGTAAATCTATTTACCATCGTTACTTGGTAGTCCAATAATACACAAACAATGTTTCGAAGACACCCATGATCGAATACCAGTAACCTTCGAATATCCTCTATTCTTAATAGCCATGTTTCACATCTATAAAGTAGAATAGAGTGAACTGCTGCGCAGTAAACTTCCTTTGATTGGCATACAAATATCTCACCTACACCACAAATGACTCAAATTGGTAAAAGCCAATCCATCTTTCTAAATCCGTGCAGAAATTTCGTCAGACACCAGACCACTAGGACTGATGAGACTTAAGGTGGTTGAAGTAGTCGACACGCTCAACTACTTCACCTATCAATAATTTAGGCACTGACCCAGACCAATCCTAAAGGAACATTTCGCAGTTGAGGGGAGAAAACTGCATCTCAAACATGCCTGCATTATTGCTTAAGTTGGTCAGAAGACTGCATTTTGTCAGCGTCTTCAAACGGAATTATACTACCGTAAAGTGTAGCGACCTGGATCTTTATATCCTTTGTGCTGTCGTACGATGTTATGTTTTTATTGCATTAGTACAGACACCTAACAATAATTACTGAGACCTGATTCCCGTTTAAAGTTCTAAAATGCAACCTGCTTAAGGAAGTCATACTTTGAAACAAAAAGTGGCCCACTCTTCTATGATTTTCTATTAAATGCTTTCCTTGATGGAAATCGTCATTAAAATTTTAGGTTACTTAAATTTTATGGCGATATACTCTAACTTGGTTTTTGTTCATAGGTCCGTTATCCTAGATGATTTTTACACACGAGGTAGCTGTGACTCTAATTTTATCAAAGATATCAATTCAAAAATGAGAGTTCCTGATAGAATATCATTAGATCCAAGTAGTTTACCGCAGGTGAATTTATCGCTCGATTCTTCTGAGAATGACAATATGAAAGTGCCAGAAAGGATAGTCATGTCTGGTGCACAGAATCAATCATCTCCACTTATGGCATTCAACCGACGTGGAGGTAGGTATCAAATATGCTTGCTACATTTTCTTTTCTACCGTATATATATATATAATCCATTCAAAAGCACAATGTATTATTCTTTGCTGTTAATAAAGGGATCGAAAGGTTAGTTAGTAAGAATTTTCATCTCTCCACTGTTCCATTCAAGCAGTGAGGTTAGACAGGGTTGCCCGATTTCACCATTCCTCTTCAACTTTGCCATCGATGACATTCTGGAAACAGCTCTGATGAATGTAAGTAATGGTGGTGTGGATCTGTTGCCTGGAGAAAGACTCATCGACCTTGAGTATGCGGACGATATTGTCTTACTGTGCGATAATCCCCAAGCCATGCAATCCTCACTTAATCAGTTGGCAATCAATGTCCGTAGGTACGGTATGTGCTTTGCACCTTCGAAGTGCAAAGTACTTCTACAAGACTGGCAGGATTCTAATCCTGTACTGACCCTGGATGGTGAGCAGATAGACGTAGTTGAGAAGTTCGTGTATCTAGGTAGCTGCATAAGTGCTGGTGGGGGTGTGAGTGATGAGATCAATGCACGTGTAGTGAAAGCCAGAGTGGCTTATGCCAACCTGCGCCATCTTTGGCACCATCATGATGTCAGTCTGTCTATAAAAGGTAGGATCTACAACGCGTCGGTGAGAGCAGTTCTGCTCTATGCTTGTGAAACCTGGCCTCTCCGAGTTGAGGACGTTAGACGACTCTCTGTGTTTGATCATCGTTGTTTCCGAAGGATTGCTGACATCCAGTGGCAACACCATGTTAGTAATGCAGAGGTTCGGCATCGTGTGTTCGGGCACTGAGATGATAATTCAATTCGTGTCACCATCTTGAAACACCGACTTCGGTGGCTTAGACATGTTCTACGAATGTCGTCCCGGAGAATTCTGCCAGCTCTCGACCATACCAGGGCATTTGGGGGCCAAAACATACATAAATTTTCTGAAAGTTATTTTCTCGAAGAGTCAGGTAAACTATCATCTAAACTATTCTGTTTGACGAATTCTTAAACTATTGATATGAGATATGAGATAAAAAGTCAAAATTAGATTTATTTACTCATTATGATTCTTGCTCAACATTATTTCCATTTTCTAATTCAATGTAATGATTACTCAATCTAGTTATCGTTTCTGTTTAACATACAATATTTTTGTATTAACAATTAACATGAACTATACTCAGCAAATGATTTTTTATATCCCCCCACTAAGTATTTTTCATATATTTGTGATTTTATTCTGATTATTAATCAAAAATGAATGTATGAATCAATATATAAATGAGTCTATTTTCGATTAGACTTGTTGTCGTGGTGATTGTTCGTGCTTCTCGACGTGCAATTGCTAACCGGTGTAGTGGATGGTTGGAAGAAAGTTAGGGGCAACCTAATCAAAACGTGGCATCAGTGCTTGAAGAGATTAACATCTAGTTTGAGCCATGTTGGTAGATGCAGACTACTTGGTTGGGGTCCGTGTGACTATCGTAACCAATGGTTAGAGACTTTGGGTGATATGGCGTCGGTGTATACACTCTATGTTTTCCCTTAAACTAAGAGATTAAAATCACTTTATATCTTTCTTTCTTCCTGTACTATATCCTTATATGTAATCTTTCTTTTACATATTACCACCTCTGAATTAACTACTTTTATGAATCCGGTGTTCATCTTGTTGTGCTAATGCGATATGGCAACTTAGACCGATGCATATATGTGCCTGGTCCTATGTTGTAGCTGATTGACTGTTCGTGCTTCTGGCTGTTAGTGGAATGAATATATTTCCCTCTTCCGAAGTTGAACTTCTCTCTCTCTAGTTAACTGAGCTGGGAGGCATCGAAATAACTAGCTTATCTGTCATTGTGTTATAAAGTCTTCGTTTGTTCTCATAATACTCTTCTAAACGTCTTGAATAATAATTCAAGAGTGTCTGTGTTGTGTCCCTCTCTCCAAATTGTGTTTTAAAATTTCCCTAAGGGGATTTCTAGTTTCATTATAGAAATCGAATTAGTCGAAAATGTAGACCACTTTACTAATTTTGAAAATCACATAAGACTGGACGTCCTAACAGCTGACATAAATACAAAAAAAGCGTTTGGTTTTCTACATTGCGTTGTGTAACTAGAATGTCCACTTTCTAATCACGGAGTGAGTATACTACGTCTCAGTCCTCTTCGTATTACTGTACGGCTATGAAACAGCCTATTAAACTATAAAATACATTAGTTTTGAATGTTTGATCATAGGTGATACCATAGACAATGTATGGGGGTCAAGCCTAGGGTTTTTAGTAGAAACAGTGAGTTGACTAACTAGGCCATAGATATCCATTGACTTAGATGGTTTGAATGTGTGTTATGATAGCCTAGCAGTCACCTACCTTGGTATGCGATACTACCTAGTTTAGAATCAGTTTAGAATAAGACTTTAAGGATCTAAATCAAGACATCACGGCATCTATACATGAAGTTACCGACTGCTGAGGAGCCGTAGGTTTTGTAACTGAATCATACCCAGTAGTCATCTGGGATTGGGGGACATCGTTGAATGCCTATTTGTTTATTTAAATAATAATAATCTGAACCTATAACAATATCTACTCTATGGCAACTTGTGTGAATCATTTTTTTGTTTTGGTGTAACCAAGATTGCCACCATCGATAAATCCATATGCTTCACTATATGACTTATTATTTTTGACTTTTTAAATTTGCTTTTTTTTTCTTACAGATGATCTTATCGATAATTTAGATCCTGTTCCACTTCAACATGCTTTAGATCCATTGCCTACTTCTTTAGTGTTAAATGAAGTTCATTATCCAGATCTAGAACGATTAACTATTGAGAAGAGGGAAATAGAAACAGCCATCTCAACTCCACTATTATTAACAAACGAATCTCAGTAAGAATAATTGGTTATTTTTGTATGTTTTTTTGTTTGTTGATAATTCGTTTCAAAAAGAAACAATAATTATTCAGATACTCTTGTCTTCAGTCAGTCAGTAACAATGTAGAACTTCGTACGTACGTACATCAGTTCAAATTGCTATACCACATTAGCACAGAGATGCAGTTATCGATTCAAATCCCGTAGTGGTAGAGGTGGTAAGAGTATAAGCAGTAGTCGGAAGGACTTGGGTTTGGAGATGTTATTTAAAGAGTATAATTCAGTGAAATAAATTTGCAAAGAGGAAAGAAGGGACATGAAAGATTCAGAAGATTAGAATTTCGGAGAACACAAAGAGTGTATGCACCTGAGCCATTGCAAACGATTTTGAGCCATGTCATTCAAGGTCTCTAACCATCGGTTGCTATCGTCTCGCTGATCTCAATCAGGTAGTCTACACCTACCAATATGACTCAGTCCACTTGTCAATGACTTCATGAATTTGTGCCATGTTTTGATATGGTCGCCCCTAGCTTTCTTCCAACCTACTCCTATACCATTGAGCATCGCACGTCAAGTCAGTCGGTCGTTGGGCATACGTAACACGTGTACCAGCCATCTCAATTGATGAAGCTTCATTACTCTTGTCTTAGTTCTTGAAATAATTTCCTTCCCCATAGTTTACATATTTAGAGTTGTAACTTGGTGATTAAAATATTTGACTTCTCCGTAACAGGTGTGAAATATACTACACCTTGTGTTTATTCAGTTTTACAATAGTGGAATTATCCTTTCATATACGAGAAATTGAGACTCAAATTCAACTACATAACAAATATGTAGTTTGTCAATGATTTACGTCAATTTACGGCTAATTTGTAACATTGAGTGATAGCTCTTCAATGTTGAGGCTGCATACGTTTTATTTATTTATTTATTTAAACACATAAACGTTGGTACAAGGAGTCACCAAACAGATATGCGCCACATAAATCATCCGATTTATGTAAGGGTTGAGATACTGCCCGCGTGTCCAAAACCGAAGCAGATGGTTTTACTAGGGGGTCACACCCCGAGCCTTGGACCTAAAAGTCTGATCTACAAGACAATGGAGATGCAGTCCCATGGTAGCCGGTGACCAATGATTGGTTCATACGCCATTTGTTTCCTTAGGATTCTGGAGCCCTTGTTCACCATTGATTTGGAATCAGGGTTTTCGAACTCTCATATGTGGATCTTTCATATCCACCAACTCGTTTAAAGCATCAGACCTTCTTTTCTTGTTCCCAATTTCGTAAACAACACTCGTGCCATGAGAAGGCAATGAGTAGGACTTCTATGTCAGTGGTTGTATGCACATGGCCACTTGAGAACATTTCGAAAGGGAGAGGTGACTCTCTTCACTCTCAGCCATACCAGGGCATTTGGGGGGCATACGTTTTAATGCGATATATATATTTTATTTGTTGCTTTGTATATGGTAATGTGATAAGTATTATTTGTATTTTATTTCATTTTCAAAACAAAAAAAATAAAGGAATCATATCTCAACAGAACAACAGCCTTCTCCACTTCCTTTATCGAATATCTCTAATGTTATAAATCATTCATCTACAACGATATCATCATCACCATCATTATCATCACCAATGAATCAAACAAATAATACTCAATCTATTCTTGTAGATACACGACGTCTTAGATTATTAGAGATTCGTATGAATGAAATAGAACTTGAATTATCTAGACGTCAATTTATGGATAAATTACTTTATATCACATTTGGAGGTTATTTTGTTTTAAAATGTTTACGTTTATTATTCTCTTAGACTGTTCTTCTTCTTCTTCTTCTTCTTCTTCTTCTTCTTCTTGTTTGTCATTAGATGTAGTCAAGGCCTATTCTGTTGTGGGTTTTGTTTTTTCTCTCTTTGTTTTTCTTCTACTGTTATTACTACTTTCATCAATGACTCAATTCAGTAGTATTAGTAGGTTTTGATAAATAATGAATGGGAAATTGTACAGTTCATTTAATGACAATGATCTATCATTATGTAACAAGCATTCAGATGATTGATATTCATGATTAATTTTTTTTTGTGGTTTCTAAAACAACATTTTGTATGGCTACTAAAAATGTAACTGAATTAAATCATCCTCATTTCAATTGTATACTACTTAATCCTATGAAAATATGATCATAATTCTTTGTATTGAGATGTATCTTCAGTTTATCATAGCTATGAATTGTATTTGATTTCGCTTAGTGTTTCTATGGTCCCGCCCCCCCCCAAAAAAAAACGGATGAAGGAGGAGGAGGAGGAGAGTTGAACATAGATCTGTTAACCTAACCTTGTAATAAAGAACCTCACTAAAAAAGAACACTAATAAGTTGTATTTATATTTGAGTTAATAGGGTTGTTCAAGATATTCTGTAATACAACTAACTGATTTCATTGTTTTATCTTATCTGAAGAGAATCAAAGCAGCAGTAGCAGTGAGTGACTTAGTAAAGTGTAATGTGTCCTCCTATAACAGTTGAACGGAAGAAGGTGTCTTTCTTTTTTAAATTATATAGTTTAGATTGAATGTCAGTTTTTTGTCGACAGTAAATTCTTCATAGTGAAATTTACGGGAATGCGACTTCATATCATACTCCAATACAGTAGTCATTTGGAATGAAGAAAATTCGAAACAGATGGGATATTTATTCATTGATTTCCAGATGCTTTGAAAAAGGTTAGACGTAACGTATGTACATTCAAACCTCCACCACACAATTTCGTGGATTTATTGTGGACCGCGGGGTGGCTACTCTAATTTCTACCGACTGACCAACTTCAGATATTCCAGTACGACCCCAATACTGTTCCCCAATCTCCAATATATCAGAACATGAACCGTAGATGAAATTGTTTATGGGATCAGAAGAAGATTAGGAATAAGAATAATACTTTACAGACAAATGCATATTTATACAGTTAGGACTACCGTGAATATTGACCAACAGGAAAATGACACGAAATAAATATTGACCAATAGGGAAATGACACCGTTTCACGTTCAAGGATAGTATTAGACTTAAAAGGATAATTTTTGGGATATTCTTCTGAATATCCCAACAGGATTGTTTGAGGTTAGACATCAACACCATCGGATGCCGTCTTAGTGGCCCAGTAGGTTAAGCGTCCGCGCACGAGAATAGAGGCTTTAGGTTCGAATCCCGCGAGCGGGATCGTGGATGCACACTGCTGAAAGGTCCCACAATAGGACGAAATGGCCATCCAGTGCTTCATGTTTTCAATAGTGGTCTAACGTTAATCGGTTCATGATCTCAATTAAAAAAAATAAAAATATTAACAATAATATATCACGAGAATAGGTTTTTATTGGATCTTCACTTGAACTACTTATGAGTAGGAATAAGACATCTCAGAAAATATCTACTTAGTAAATGTTGTTGTTTGAAGATTAGATTGTAGATATGTGTAGGGTTTTCATCTTTGAATAAGTTAAGAACGAGAAATCAAAGGTTTGATAACAAGGAGATTATTATTTCAGAAGTAATTTCTACTATTTGGAAGGAAATTTCAAGAATGATTTGATTTGAAAAATAATTCCTGAAGTGAGAAGCTATAACCAAAGACGTTGAACTGTTCCACGAATAAGTTAGTTACACATTAATGGCATATAAAGATGGTTGTGAAATATCGCGAATTGGTTGAAACTAGAAATGTAAACCATCGGATATTGACTCAATGAGTTGAATGTTAAGAATTCTTTGTGAGACCTGATGGTTCTTGAGTTTGGTTCCAGATGGAGTCATGTATGCACACTTCCGAATCCATATACTAGGATAAGATATCTGTCCATTAGTTCCTGGTTTTCATTAGTTGTCTAATTGGAGTTAGTTCGTGATGGGATTTACGTTATTTCAGCATATGGATCGTACATTTTCATTGATTGAAATTAGAATAAATATGGTCTATTGGAATTTCTATTCAGTGGTTTTAGAGGTATTATACTGTTTGTGAAATGTAAACTTCATTGCTTCAAAGTGATATGGTGTCGTGGTTGCACACACTATTAGAAATATATAAACAAGTGAATCAGCTGTCAATCGCTTCGTGCTTTTCAAGCCGATATCAGTCCATAGTATAAAATCCTTATAATAATTCACAATAATAAAAACTTGTCATTTCTATACTTAGCTTAATACATGTTCATATAAAAACTGCTGATTTCGTTGGGTCACAAACGGATATCCTCATTTCAATGGAAATATCTTTTCCCAGTTTATCTAAGCCTCAATAATTAACAAATGAATGTATACTGTCACAGTCAGTTAGTTACAACATAGGACTAGGCAATTATATGCATCGATCCAAGTTGTCATACCTCATTAGCACAACAAGATGAATACCGGATTCATAGAACCAGTTACTTCAATGGTGGTAGTACATATAAAAGAAGGATTGCATATAAGGAAGAAAGAATTAGTTCATAGAAAGAAAGATATGAAGTGATTTTTATCTCATAGTTTATTATTTATTTAAACACAAAAAGATTGGTACAAGGAGGCATCAAATACATATGGGCCATATAAATCATTCGATTTGTGTGAGGGCTAGGATACTGTCCGGGTGCCCAGACAGAAGCGGGTGGTTTTCTTACGGGGCCACACCCCGAGCCTTGGACCTAAAGGTCTGATCTACAAGGCAATGGAGCATCGTGAGGAGATGCATTTTCATGGAAGCCGGTGACCAACGATTGGTTCATACGTCATTTGTTTCCTTAGGATCCTGGAGCCCATGTTCACCATTGATTTGGAATCAGGGTTTTCGAACTCTCATATGTGGAACTTTCATATCCACCAACTCGTTTAAAGCATCAGACCTTCTTTTTTGTTCCCAATTTCGTAAACAACACTCGTGCCACCAGAAGGCAATGAGTAGGACTTCTATGTCAGTGGTTGTATGCACATGGCCACTTGAGAACATTTCGAGAGGGAGGGCGAGCCCACCCTACTCTCAGCCATACCAGGTCTTTTTGGGTCAGTGAGTGTATACACCAACACGATTGTGATCAATTCTGATCCATGTCACCCAGTCTCCAACTATTGATTACAATGGTCAAATGGACCCCAACCAAATGTATACTGTAAATTCCATCTAAATAACTGTTGTGAAACCAGTAGGTATCATAAATAGCACAATAGTTAAACTACATAGTTACAATGACTCATTACAAATTCCAACATAGTTTTGTAACCTATTTCTTATTCATTTTCATTGTAAGACAAACATTACTCTAGTTTAAACTAATTAAACAACACAATATCGATGATAATGTTTAGTTTAAGTATTATATATTACGATGCTCATCTGGTTGACGTTTTTTTTAGCGAGTTAGTTTTCTGCAGGATGTGGTCGCTAACTTCCATGCCCAACCGTTTCTCTTTATCCAGGCTTGGGACCAGCAGCAGCCCCAGAGGGACTTCAGGTATAGTTAAGTACCTTTACACTACCTACATGAAAATATTGATTTGGTATATTTCTAAGAAATTTGGATACATACAGTAATCGATATTTTATACATCGATTTCATTTTCTTAAAAAAGAAACCTTTTTTTATTTCTCTATTATAATTTATACAAAAAAACAACAAATTAGGATAGTTATAGTAGTGAAAGACTACTGTTTAAGTAGTATTAGTATACCGCCGAATGCCCTGGTATGGCTGAGAGTGGGGTGGGCCCGCCCTCCCTCTCGAAATGCTCTCACATGGCCACGCGTATATAGCCTATGCCAGGGAAGTCCTACTCACTGCCTTCTCGTGGCGGGGGTGCTGTCTACGAAAGTGAGAGGACGAAAAGCGAATGTCCGGCGCTTTAACCGGATTTCAAATCAATGGTGCACATGGGCTCCAGTATCCTGCGGGAACAAATGGCATATGAACCAATCGTTGGTCACCAGCTACCATGAGACTGCATCTCCTCACGATGCTCCACTACCTTGTGGGTCAGACCTTTAGATCAAAGGCTCGATGTGTGGTCCCCTAAGAAAACCACCTGCTTCAGTTTGGGCACCCGGGCAGTATCACAGATCACACACACAAATATGGTGTGGCGCATATGTTATTTGGTGCCCTCTTGTACCAATATTTATGTGTTCAAATACATAAATCAATAAGTAGTATATGACATATGAGATAAATTCACATTTTTTTCTGAACTTTTCTTTCCATTCCAAGAATTCTTAGTAGATATTGGATACATTTGATGATCTATATTGATTCCTCGTTGAAAATGTCTTGATTTTGTTACAGATACAGAAACTTTTCTCTTTACTCCTGTATCTTTTTTTTCTCTCTCCCATCAAGTATCTACCTTGGATTTAATGAAATACATGTACAGTTACATGGATACATACACATATATATACATAAACACCGATAAATTAGAGATATTGTTCTCTCTCATATAGACTTATGTTCTTATTGAATGAATGATGAACTGATATGTTGTTTGATCATGAGAAAGATACATCATTTGGACAATAGTGTTGGAGTGATCCAGAAGATTTCTTGCAAAAGACAAGCAAAGATCAGGAAAATACTAAGAAGCGTTTCATCCAATCAGCGTTCATTTGAAGTTTTAGCCAAAAATATCAAGGAAGTGGAACGTCACATGAAGAGGTTCTGATTGGCAGATTGCTACACTGCTACTATATTTAGTAGCATTCCAGATTTTTCTAGCAACCCAAGGACATTTAAAACTATTATAAAAACCCTATATTTTCTGTATTAAAATGAACCTTGGAGTAAACTACTTCTCGCGTACTTTGAATCATCTCTCTCGTTGTTCAGGTCGCTGTATAGTTCGAGCTTGGGGGTTACAGAATAGCTTAAGAGACGAATAGAGCGTTCAATCCGCAAGACATATCGAATAGTAAGAATTAGGGTAAAAAACTATAGTTCAATACATCATCTGATAAATGTTCATGAACTGTCT